CATCTCTTTCCTACTAGATAGATCCTGTGCTTAGCTAGAGCATAGAGAAGCTCTTGCCTAAACGCATAAGATAAGTTATTAAAATCCTGTTATGTCTAGCCTTTAAAGTCTTTTATAAAGTTAGATAGACTGTACTCTCTTATACACATAAAGATAAGGATATCTGCTACGTACAAGGTTTGTTGTACTTAGAAGGGATTTGTTAACATATTAAAACAGTCTACTAGAAGGTTAACCTCCTTTTATAGTATTGTTCTAGACACGTGGGTCATCTCTACTAGTTTATTGTACAAGTATCCTATGACAAGGTAAGGGGTTGCCAGTTGCTTGTTCGTATGGCTGTTGTCTAGGGGGGGTGGGTGCCGGTTGCGTTTGTACGGCGGTTGTCTGGGTGGTGGTTGAGGGTGGGTGGTGCTGGTCGTGTGTTCGTACGGCCGTTCTCAGGGGGGGGGGGGGGGGGGGGGGGGCTAGTTGACTGTACGGTGGCTCTCAAAGAGCAAGCTGTTGTACAGGGTAGCGGGTTGGCTCCGGGGCGTGCGACGGCTACCAGTCGCAGTAGATGCCTCCTCTGTGTGGCTACGCACGCGGTAGATAGGTGCTGCGGCTGGTTGGCTGGCTCTTGTACTAGCGGTTGACTCTAAGGGCGTGCGACGGCTACCAGTCGCAGTAGATGCCTCCTCTGTGTGGCTACGCACGCGGTAGATAGGTACTGCAGCTAGCGAGCTGGCTCTCGTACAGGCGGTTGACTCCGGGGGCATACGACGGCTACCAGTGCAGTAGGTGCCTCCTCTGCGTGGCTACGCACGCGGTAGATAGATACTGCAGCTAGCGAGCTGGCTCTCGTACAGGCGGTTGACTCCGGGGGCATACGACGGCTACCAGTGCAGTAGGTGCCTCCTCTGCGTGGCTACGCACGCGGTAGATAGATACTGCAGCGGCGGGCTGGCTCTTGTACAGGCGGTTAACTCTAGGGGCGCGCACAAGGCTTGTTCACGCCCTCTCTGCGTAGCTACGCACGCGGTGGGTGTGAGCGTCTAAGCCCTCTCTATGTGGCTACGCACACAGTGGGAGTAAGCTTCTTGTATAGTAGTAGTTTTATTAATTCTTATAAATCTATCTATTAAGAATAATATCCTCTGTGTAGCTACGCATATAGTAAATAGTTTATTAATAGACTAATTAGTGTTAGTTAACCTAGGTTTAATTAAACAAATGTACACCTAAAGAGTGTACTAAGAGGTAAGTAAGTAAAAAAAAAATTATTATTAACTACTGCCCTTTTTTTGTATAAAGAAAGAGGGCTTTTAAGTACCTATAGCCCCTAACGCACAGGCTAGATAGCTAACGTTTGAGGCAACCTAATTCAGCTGTACGCGTGTACAGACGCAGCTGTACTTACGTACAGACATAGGTCTTAATAAAAGTTTATTTATACATAGTATTAGATACGTATCTTTATAAGTAATAGTATTAAGTTTATAGTAATTAACATAAATACATAAGTTGCTATTTAATTTCTGTACATAAAGGATAAAAAATGTAAAAGGGCTTTAACTTTACTTAATAAAGCTATATTTTAGATTATTTATAATATATTTCTTTATTACCTCTAGTTCCTTAATGTTCTGTTTGTACAAAGAGCTGTAACTATTAAAAAAAAGTTTTATAAGGATAATCTTATAGTTATATAAGTAATGTGCTAGTAATTAGTAAGCTATAGTGTAGCTAAATACATCTTAGTACTAATAGTATTTAGATAGTAATTAGAAGTTTACTAATACTTTAGTTTTATAACTATTATTTAATAGTAAAGCTTACTTATCTTTAATTAAATGCTTAATTTTATAAATAAAAGTTAAAAAGAACTTATTTTTTTTATGTTAAAATAAAAAGCATTTACTAAAATAAAGGTAATAAAAAGAAAATAGATGTCTTTTAGACCTATTCTAGACATCTTAATAGATAAGTAGATAGATAATTAGAGTGTCTTTAGACTATAGATAATAAAAGAGCAGTATAATTTTAGTAGCCTTAGTAAACCCTTAATGCAGTAGATTGTTAAGCTATATAACTACTAAATATAGTTCTTTTTTATAGTATGTTGTGTTGTCTAACATCTAACTCTACTTCTTTATTACACGTAGGCTAGTTTAATTGCATAAGCAAAAGTAGTAAAAGTTTATAAGTAGTAAAATACTTACTAAGCTATATAATTTAATTCTTCTTTATATCTAGTTAAAGTTTAAAATAATATAACTATTTAATGCTAATAATATAATCTTGTAAGCTAAGGTTTATAATAATAAAAGAGTAGTTTTAGATGCTTCTACTATTAATTTACATATGCAGGCAGATATACTAGTAGACAGGAACTTAGATTTAGTCTTAAAAGCTCTTAACTATAACTTTAAAAAGTAAATGTTAGATAAAAATATAAAAGTATTAAAATAAAAACTTAGTAGTTATTAAGTTAATAAATAAAAAACTATATACACTAGTAATAACTAAAAGATTTAATTAAACTCTAATGCCTTTTAAGTATAAAATAGTAGAGACTTAAAAATGTTTTTTTTAAATAAGTGTAATAAGTTAATATTTACTAACTTATACTTATTTAAGCTTAAAATAAAAAGTTTTTTTAAGCTTTTTTATTTTTTATTTAAGAAAAGTTTAGCTTATAATTATTTATATCTATAAACTTTTTTTAATTTTTATTACTCTACCTTAATTTTTTATACTTTAGAGATAAGATAATTACTAGTAAAATGTTTTAGTTTACTATAATTATAATAGTTACTAGAAGTTGTCTGTCTTTTAGAGGCAGGTGTCTAGCTAGGTTAACAGTAGGTAGCAGGGGTGGACTAGGGTACTAACATAGGTGCAGGTTGTAGTGCACTAGAATAGTATACTGTCTTTAATATATTACTAGAAACCTTTTAAAATTAATTTATAATAAGTTTAGTATTAAAACATTAAGTGTTGTTAATAGTTTACTTTAAAATAGTAAAAGTGTTTCTTTTTTCTATATTATAAGCTATTAAGTAGGCTACTATTATCTTAAAAAAGCCTTTTTAAGTATGTTTAAAACCTAAGTTTAGTACTTTTAGGCTAAGCAGTATCTTCTTTTATAGGTAAAAGAACTATTTTAACTTTAATATAAACTTTTTAATAGTAGCACTAATTAAGTAAGCTTTAAAAGTAAAAAACTCTTTTTTTTTACTTATTCTTAAAGTTTAAAACGCCTGTTACGCCTCTATTTTTTTATTACTAGTAATAAAGTAAGTTTATAAAAGCTTAATTATTTTTTTTATATTTTTAAACTAAAAGTTATCTAATTTAGCTAAGTATCTAGGCTCTAGATATTCCTTTGCAATACTAGCAGTGTGTCTCTATACTAACACTATGCGTATACGCTTACTCTAGTAGTAATCTAAATTAATATTAAGTTTATTTATAATAAAAGCTTACTATTATTTAAATATAAGTTTTTTACTATTTATAAAGTTTTTAATCTTAAGTATGCATTTAGTAAGGTAACTTTAAAAAAGCTTAAAAGTGCTTAAAAAGTCTTTAACTATTAGTGTAGTAAAAGTAATTTAAAGTATTATTAAAAGTAATTTAGTAGTTAGTAAAAGTTAATTAAGACTAATAGTTTTTAATTTAGTTAGCTACTTAATTTATACTTTTAATTAAGTAACTTAGTTTTCTAAAGCTATAATACTAAAGTTTAACTTTAAATTTAGTAGGTTTTTAGCTTTAAGTCTTATAAAAAAAAGTTTAGCTATTAAAGTTAGTAGTTATTTAGCTTTAGTAGTAAGCATTTTACTTTAGCTATAACTAAAGCGTGTTGTAAGCTTTATACTAAGGTCTAAAAGTAGTTAAAAGTTAGGTATTAGTAGTTATCTTTAATTCTAATAAGTTTTTAGTAGTCTTTAAGTTTTTACCTTAGTACACTTTTTATAACTTTTCTAAAAGTAATCTTAATTATAAAAGATAAAAAGTTCTAAACTTAAAAGCTTTAGTTAATAAAAAGTTTTTAAAATTTTATTTATAATAACTAAATAATTTAATATAATAGTGTGTAAAAACTTTCACTTAAACTAAATTAAACACTTTTTAAAGTTAGATATAGTTAAATAAATAATTAATATAATATTATTAATAAAGCTATTACTAGTAAAAGTAAGTTTTCTAATATAATGTAACAGCATAGGTAAGATAATAGGTCTAAATGCAGTAGAAATCTACTTAGAAGTATATAGAAGTGCGTGGGGACTTAGAATCTAGGAATATCTATTAACACCTATAGGCCTTGTATAAAGGATATTAGAAAACTACTAAGCTAGCTAAGGGGAGAGGTGCGACTAAATACTTAGGTGAATAGGGGTAACTGCGGGGGACAGGGTCGAGTCATGATCGGGGCCGATACGGGGACCCTTCGGATAGGATCCGAGCGACCTGACGATGGAACGATTCGTGAGAATCGTTACAGCTAACACCTGCTTGTTATTTCAAAGTCTTTCTCTTCTAGATTGTCTCTAGTATTCTAATTGTCATGCCACTTAGAATAATTATCGAGCGCTTTTTCACTTAGAACTTTGTTGTTTGGCATAATTGTTGGAAGGGTCTTGAGAAACAAAGCAGCGTGCTCCTTATAGGATCTAATTGAATGGTCCAGGAATAGGGTTCCTCTTGGTGGCTCACATTCAGACGCACATATTGCCTCACAACTATGCCTCCGCTTTAGGTCCAAAACAATCCAATGATCCGCCTGATAAAGGACCCCACTTGAAAAGTAATGTACTCTGGTTCTGTTTTAGGTTGATCATGGTACTGGTATGGAGACCTCAGTACAGTTCTTTGCAGATTCGGTATCTGGATTTTGCACGCTGCTCGACATTCTCCCGCTGGCGCTTTAATTCTAGCTACATAATGCATCTATTACGCGCCGATAAAGAATAACGTAGATTATACAACTAATAACCGGTCCGAAACACTTATTAAACAAATTGCGCCTCGATTCTCTTCGCTGCCCGGAAAACATCCATACTCGAATCAAAGTCCCAATCGCTATGGCTTGACTTAGGCGGAACAGGGGGTCTTAAACTCTCGGTAAACGAAACATCCATTCTGGTCTCTTTCGTGATCGACATCTCCGTTCCATTACTACCGTGTGTCGCTGCGTCGCTTTTGCCAGTGTACCCATTCACCTCCCTAGTCCTACTGCGCTGCGATCGACTTATTAGCGGCTTCAATGTAGGTAGGGAAGCGCAGATGATGCTCGTGTTTACTTCGACCATCGACCAGATGTTGATGGGAAGGCTATCGTAGAATGGATCTTTGGACTCGGTGAAGATGTGCAAGAAGCTGAGGCGAGTAATCGCAGCGGCAATACTGAAGATGCCCAGGCCGAAGATGGCGATCAGAGAGAGCTTTTCGTGCCATGGTCGAGCGATGCGGGTTACGATTTGGTATGGGAGGATGAGGATCCAGATGTCGGTAACGATGTGAAAGACGGACGCGACTAGACGAATCAGATCGAACCGTGCCATGATAGTGGGGTCATACAGTGATAGAATATGTTCGTGTTGATACATTTCCCATTCACAGCACCGGTAAAGTCCCACAGCTTGTTCATCGGAACGCATTGCCCAATCGTCACCGCGGTCACGACGACTTGGAATACTACGACTAGTACTAGAGTATACTGGCAAAGCTGCTCAAAGGTCCTGCGCACCGCTACCCAGGTATGTTAGCCATGTTATGTCAATGCAGACAGGGAGAAGAATACCGAGGCGGAGGTAGAAGCACAAGATGGAGACTTTGATCATGGTGAGCGTCATCTTGTAAGTCACCACGATGGCGGTCGTGATCTGAAAAGCTGGTTAGACGACCACTTATCTGTGAATTGAAGAGCTGCACGTACCTTAAGGATGCCTTGCATGTCACTCACGCTCAGCTGTGCTCCGCTAAACCCAGCCTTGAACGACTTCGCCCCGATCAACACTTCTAACAGATATGCAAACGAAAAGACCATTGTCGTGACCATAGCCCAGTCATCGGCAAACAGGCGACCCACAATTAGGGAACGAGTGAAGAGACGAAAACCAACGACAATAGCTGTCATCGTCAGCACAGTCAGCGAAGCATCATTGGGTCAAGTTACCTCCTATGGATGTCATAGCGATCGAAATCCCTACCATCATATTTTGCCGCGCCTGCTCTGCTCCAATCTGATACTTCGGGTCGTTTTGAGCCATAATGCTGACCATCAGATCAACGAAATGCAATTTGTGAGAGTTTGGGCGAACGATTCGATAAACGGCAAAGTAAAAGAATACCACCTTCCTGCGCAGTTATGCAGGGTCCAATGGAAATATACTGTACACATGAATTTATTCCTGAAGGTGTGTCCGGTAGCCTTGGCTGCAACATGAGGAAAGTTTTGTGGCATCCGTCTCATCCCCGCATGTTTTTCTGACCCGATACCATCCTGATGGGTGCGCCCGTGCATTTCAAACACATTGGGTATGTGATCGCTGAAAAATCGCAACCTTGTGGACACCAAACAGGTGACGGAGTTCCCATGAGTTTCGAAATGGCGAGTATTGTCCACGTGTGCCCCCTCCTTTGTTTCGACCCAATGGCGGCTAACGACAGATTGGGAATAGCGCACAGAGGCTCAAACAATTCTCTGACAGGAACTGCGATGGCAACAATCATGCACGACCTAACCCTAACGGAGGAGAATCACCGCGATTGAAAGGTATAGCCCGAGTCTTGTCAATCAAATTTTATGTGTGGAAGAATAGGAGAACATTGATATGGAGGAATCGGCATGGAAAGGACGGAGAATCTTAGGATCTTGTGGATGCAAGTGGATGTGTATAGAAAATTAAAAGTGACACCTGCGCTTCAATTGCGTTGAGAATCAGCCTTATTATTACGAGCGGTGCATTCCAGGGTTCGGGAATGAACGGCAATAACAGCTGGCCACAGGAGATAAGGATACAAAAGCCATTGGGTTGAACCAACAGGTAAATGATATGGTCTACCGACGATCATATCGTTTTCCGAACAAGCTCGTGAACACTCGCCACCAGACATACTCCAAAACTCTCTTATCTCACTTCGAGAGATCCGGGCCCCAAACCTCCTTCGCAATCTCGACCTCGAGTCTCACTTTCGCCCACTGCTCTTCCTCTGTCAACTCATTGCCTTCCATAGTCGAGCTGAACCCGCACTGGTGACTCAAGCATAGCTGATCGAGACCCTTAGGACACACCTCTGCTGCCTGCTTTAGTCTCTCCCGTATTTCCTCTTTATTGTCAAGAGTGTTCTTCTTGCTAGACATGAGTCCGAGAACCACGACTTTGTGGTCGGGAAGATGGCGGAGCGGTTTAAAGTCGCCGCTGCGTGCATCATCGTATTCTAGGAAGTAAGCATCGACGTTGAGTTCCTTGAAGAGGACTTCAGCAACAGGCTCATATCCCCCTGATGCAAACCACTTGGAGCGGTAGTTGCCTCTGCAGAGGTGAATTCCAATCTTCATGTCTTTCGGTCGCTTGGATATCGCGGCGTTGATGAGCTCAGCATACTTTCGTGGGAGAACGTTCAAATCCTCATTTCGCTCTTCGACCATCTTCCTCATATCCGGATCGCATAGATAAGCGAGGTTTGTGTCATCGAGTTGTACAAACCGACATCCCGCTTGATACAATGAGTCCAATTCTTCCTGATATACACGTGCGAGATCTTCGAAAAACTCGTCCAAGTCGGGATATGCTTCAATATCTATGCTCGCACGCCCACCACGGAAATGCACCATAGTCGGACTTGGTATGCATACCTTTGTCGTTGCCGCACCCCCGTTCTCTTTAATCGCGCGCTCGAGGAACTTGAAGTCATCGACTTGGATTGCCTTTGGATGGCCAAGTTTACCCGTGACGACCAGCACTGGGGGCGAAAATCCGTGCGGCCGTATCATCCCCGTCTGTCCTTTGATCTCGATGCCAGAGAGATGCTGCAGAAAATCGAGGTGAAAATAAGCCCGGCGATACTCGCCATCAGTTATGGAGCGCAGGCCATTCGATATCTCCTTGGTGGCTACGTCGGTGATGCATTTATCTTCAACTTTACGGAGCTCCTCAGTAGTGGAAGTATTGTTCGCAACTGCCTCCCGGGCATCGAGAACGGCCTTTGGGCGCAGGAAAGAACCCACGTGGTCTGCCCTGTAAACACCGTACGGGAGAACCATTGAGGCGGATATGAGGCTGATCCTTCGTGCCCAGGCTTTAGAAATAGAGGTAGGTCGAGTTGTAGAAGTTCAACTCTCCAGGAAGTATCAGCAGCAAGAGAATGAGCAAGCAGGATCCTTTAAAAAGACACAAACAGAGTAGGAGGTTGAAGAAAAATTCTCTTGGTCGGTAACATTGACACTGGTACCCCACCACGGCAGTTGCAAAATGGTCCAAGATAGGATGCCGAGAACCAAGTCGACTTGGGTAAGGTTCAACACCTGGTGGCCGGAATGACGGAAGTAACGCCATACGCCACGCCACATCGTCAAAAGGTTCCCTAAAGAAGCCCCGCATGTCAGATTTCTGCGGAGTTACTGCAAGCCATTTAGCCACAGAGGTAGAAGAGAAGTTAATCTAACGAGAAGAGTTGTGCCTTCACGGCAGGGTGGAGGATAGAAGAGCGGTGTCATTAAGCGGGGTGCGAGATCGGGGGTTCGCATCAAAGACCCCGGCCCCGGACTTCTAAGAGTCCTAATCACCACATGAAATTCAGCGTCACAGAAAACATCCTTCAGTGCAGAATGATCCCGAATCTTCATCCAGAAACTGCCATCCTCTTCCTTAGATGATGTATCACTAGCAAGACCTACCTGAACACTTCGCCTCGTATCAATACCAGGTTCATACCCTGCACAGCAGCTACCTACAGTAGAAGTGAACTCGCGAGACCTAGCGTTAGGGTTAGGAGTAGGTTACATTTGGTCTTCACTGCGCCGGTTGTTTACCATCTACAGGCTCCCCTGCAATGCGAGCAACCAGTCTCAGGTCGGTCCCGCAGTCTATCGGGGCGATACTTCCCCCCAACGCGAGGTGGACATGAATCCCCAGTAACTAAATTTTTGCTAAAAACTACCACACGGCAAACCTCGCTTCCAATAAGACGCATACATGTCGGGACTCTTCCAGCACTTCCCTCCATGGATGATCAATCAACTATCGTACCCATCCATGTTCGTGGCCCAAACCGTCACCCGTAAGCGAATCGGGATGCGGCTCCTGAAACGCTACGAGTTGCGATGTTCCTCAAACGGTTAGGCGCGAGTGCTAACCGCTTGTATTTCTTTTTGTCTTAAAAATGCGTGCGTCCTTTTCCACACGACAGTCTTCTAAGAATAACCTTAGCCCACAAGGCGCCGGAAGCTGTGGTAACGATCGGCCTACAACCTGACTGTATGCCGTCGACCAAGTTTTGTGGACGTACGATGTAACTAGATGTCGAATGAGGACCCTACAAGCTTCCGCCAACCGCTGAGAATCGTCATCGAGCCGATCAGGCGGGCAGCCCAAGTTTGGGGGCGATTTTGGCCGAGTTGTGCACCTTTCCGTTAGGGATATATAGCCCACTTAAAGCCTGTCTCTTCGAGGGTTCGTGCCCTTATTACTTTCGAAAACCCTCGGGCCGCCTGATAGTTCGAGATGCAGACCATGAAAACCTGGGGTGGACTTGGTGGCGGCCCGAGTGCAACGCATCACACAGTCGCGCAATGGGACGAAGACTACGCACCAAGACAAGAATACGAACCATTTCAGATCCAGCAACCACGAGAGCGGGGTCCCAAAAGGAACATATTCTGGACTGCGATATGGGAATGGTGGCTTCTTGAGATCTCATGTTTAACGCTAAGCGTCGCTGCGCTCGTTGGAATAGTTATACTTCTCGACAAGTACGATAACAAGGCCAGTAACGTCTCCAGAAATTTCGTCCGATACAATACATGAACTGCAGTGCTGAAATGAGTCGCAGCCACTGAAAGATTGGCCCTGGAGTATATCGCCCAACTCCGTCCTCGCCGTCTTCTCCACCATCATAAAAACCTTGGCGCTGCTGCCCATTGCAGACTGCATAGGGCAATTAAAATGGACCTGGTTTGCTCGCGGGCAGCCACTACCACTTCTCGACTTCGAAATCTTCGACTCAGCATCTCGTGGAATCCTCGGATCCATCTTCCTCCTGTTCCGGCTACGGTTCATGCACATTGCGAGTCTAGGGTGCATTGTCACGATATTGGCGATTGCCATTGACCCGTTAACACAGCAAGCGCTGAGCCAACCCACACGCTCGATTCCCGTTCCTACGGGAACGGCAACGATTCCCCGAGCGCAGAATTACAGTCTATCAATGGACGCCTTGCAGGACGGCGACGATTATATATCCGCGCCAAACTCGCTGATCGGCGCAATGTACATCGGGCTATACACACCGCTGGACCAAGAAGTCGCATTCCCGAATCCGGACTGCAGTACCGGGAACTGCACATGGACGAATTACAAATCACTGGGAATATGTCAGGAAACTAAGGATGTGACGAAACAACGCGACAGTATCTGCTCCCCGTGCACAGGGAAGAATGCGAGCGCAACACAATCTTGTCATTATGCCTGCGACATGTCGACGACGTTCCTGAATGTCTCGGCACTGCGGAGTCAAACCCTAACGCGGTATTCTACGGAGGGGCTTCCTGAGAATGTTTCGTTGAGTTTGGGGTTTGAGGATATTGTTTGGCCGGTTGCAGATGTGTTAATGAATTATCGGAATAATTTTAGTTCGGTGGGTGAAAAGCCGGATAAGAGTACGAGTATGTATGAGACGGTGTTTTATTTCTGCATGCAGGAGTTTTCGAGCGGGGAGGAGAGTGGGAGACCGATGACGAGGATGGTGAATTCGACTAAGAGGACGACGAATCGGACGGTGGAGGCGATTGGGAATCGGTATACGTTCATGCCGCAACTTACGATCCACGATGACAACACCAAGGAGGGAGAGACGGGGGAGTATACGGTTGAGCCTGAAGCACTTCTGGCGCTGTCAATCGCCATGTACAAAGCGTTCCAAGGTGGAGTCTCGTGGGCTGATATTATCACTGGCACTACTGAGGTCGGACGGGTCCTAGGCACGATCGTGGATCAGAGTCCTAAACCGACCTCGCGGGCGCAAAATGATTACACCAAGATTCCTGAAATCATGGAGAATGTGGCGCGGGCACTGAGTAATGACCTCAAAATCCACCCGGGGAATGGGACGAAGGTAGTGGTTCACGACGGGACTGTGCTGGCACTGGAATCGTACATCTCAGTGACTTGGCCTTGGTTGTCACTGCTCTTTGCGACGGTTCCGCTTTCGATTCTTCTCCTCGGTTTAACGATGATTCGGTCCGCGAATACGCATACGACTGTTTGGAAAACGAGTTCGCTACCTGTGCTCCAGATTCTGGGGCAGGGGGTTAGAGGTGATTTAGGGAAGGTTGAAGGGATTGGTAAGATGGAAATGAGGGCAGAGTATGTCAAGGTGGAGTTGGAGCAGAGAGGGGGTGGGTGGGGGCTTGTTAGTCGGTGATCTGGACAAACCCAGGGAGTACGAAGAGGAGAATGAGCAGCCTGAGGATCTGAATCAGGGCAAGTACAGGAGTTTTGTAGACCTTCTGGCATCTTTAGTGTCTTTGCTAATACTAATAAGCATGTTGCAAATGCAAATGTTCACAGTTAAAGGGACTTCCGTTGGTGTGAAATATGTACGTACGAATCGCGCGGAGATCTTGCACAATCTGTGATGATTTCTCTCCGCACCCAGATAAGAGGTGGACCCCAAGTATCTTCGCAGATAATTCCATCAACTACCAGGCCCACCGTCAACTCTGCCGTCGTGTCGCCAAACTATGGTGCAACTTTGCTAACCTTGTCTAATGTTTCACCGAACCTAGGCGCCCTTCAACAACTTCGCCTCAAGCAACTCACCGCGCTCTAAATACACGCAGCCATCGTCATCCTTCTCTAAACCTCCTTCATCCTGCCTAGAAAGTCGAAGGCCCACCATTCTGTCCTCAGCATGGACATGCTCAACAATAGCAGTTTTATGGTTGCTAATCTCTGGCGTCATATCCTCCAGGTTGAGCGCGAAATGTTTGAAAACGATGACTGCCCCGACTTTGAGATCCTCTTCGGCGACTGGCGGGTAGAAGTCTAGATCGGTGGGAACAGGGGGTATATCGATCTTACCAGGGATGTCAAGGCCGTTCTCTGGTTGGGGCTCAATTTTGTCCGCAGTTTCGACATCATCCTGGAGCTGTGATTGGATGACAGTGTCAACGTCCACTGAGTTCTCGCCGTAGTCCAAAATAAGATGGGCTGCAGGACTAGGACCTTTCTTTTTTTCCCCTTTCTTCTTCCGTTTACTCGCATTGAATCTCTCCCTCATAGCTGCGCACGATTCCTTGTCCCAGTGTTGCTGGAAGGGGAACGGGGGCGCGCTAAGCTCGTCGAACTCCTCGTACCAGCATTCGTAAGCGGAGTAGTTGATCTTAGTTTTCCAGGCGTCGGGATTGGTCGGCTCGGGGTGAGGTTGCTGCTTGGGCTTGGGTGAGGTATTTTTCTTCGCCGGCTGTGCACACATGTATTAGTAAAGCCATGACAACGGTGGGTTGGACCTACTGGAATTCCCGCTTTGATCATCCGGCCAGCAGCTCCCAGGTCGAGACGTGGTCGCTTTGAGGGCTGCGGCCCTAGAGTCTTAGCAACAGAGGTGCGTGCGCTGACATCAGTTAGGGAGACCCCGTTGGTGGGCCCGGCAGTAACATCGACGCCGCCAGAGTCGATTGAAGCCAGAAGCTGGGCGCGGCGAATCTCAAGTTGCCGACGCTCTTCTTCAGACATGTGCGGAGTTTCCGATTCATTCTGGGTAGTGTTTTGCTGGTTGCCAGTCTGCTGCGTAGCCTGAGCAGTCTCAGCAACCGCGTTGGTGCCCTCAAAATGTATGTGTTTTCCGATGGGTGCAGTCTGCGCATCGTATCGCTTCCTCTTTTTCGTCCTTATGGTATCAGATAAGCCAAGAGAGTCTCTCGCATCAGCGATTTGTTTCTCTCTCACGTGGAGAGGTTGCTCTTTAAATGTTCTAGCAGCTGCGAGGCTTGCAGTGGGGGAAGCTAACCCGAGGGGCTGTAGCGTCCTCTTGAGAAGGGCCACTTCTTTTCGGCGTGTGTTGCGTGACTGGGTAGCCTTAAGACCCCTTTTCGGCGGCGTAGTCTTCTTCTTCGTAGTCTCGACTGTCGGTTCGTCACTCTCATTGGAGGATGAATCGGGACCGGAATCGGAATCTGAATTTTCCTCGGAAGACTCGCTGTCAGAGCCATTGGAAGACCCATCTCTAGCCTGGGCTGCGGCTTTGGGAGCTGCCTTCCTTCCCGCATCGTCCACGGCCCCTTCGGAGCCCTCGGAGCTCTCGTTAGAGCTCTCATCAGAGCTTCCATCGGATGTTTCTTCCGACGAGGACGACACCGAAGACGAGTCTATGTCGACGTCGGCATCCGGGTTGAAATCGCCGTCGTCTTCGCTGTTGTCTTCGCTGTTGTCTTCGCTGTCGCTAGGGTTGCCCGCCGGCGAGATTTGGAATCGGACGGCCTTAGCACGTGACTTCGGCCGCAACGAACGTCCTTTGACGGCATTGATATCGTCACCCGGACCAGCGTCGCTGCCTTGCCCAGACGACGATACATGGCCATGCTCTGTGAGCAAGCCTGCAAGCTCGCCATTTCCTTCCTCAGCTGCGGCCGGTTCATGCAGCAGTCGACGCCGCTTCAGAGGAGGTATGCGGATCGGAGGGCGATTGGGCTCGCGGAGATATGGGCGCCCAAAGGGAATGCCGTCGACAAGGTGCTGACCTCCCTCAGAGATCTGCAGCCTCCCAGAGAGCGTGCGGCCACGAACGTCGGCGGTAAATAGGGAGCGGATACTGGCAAAACTAGTGAGCTGGTGTCGACGCGATGTTCAGGCATAAATTTACGAGACTTGGTCCTCGTCCTTAAGGATCCGGGCGACAGGCGAAAAGTGGAGACATTCAAAGCCGGCCACCTCAACGACGTAGTCTTCTAGGCCCCAGTGCTCTGCTTCGAGTGGGATAATGCGATTAATGTCGTCTAGCAGCTTGGCGATGGTGTAGGCAAGCGTGCTCTGCTCTTCAGTGATTGTCCAGAGGATGTTGGTAGGCGGCAGGCCGTGGCGCTGCACCGAGAGACGGAGCCTCATGGCAGCAGGCAGTTTGCAGTACGCAGGGACAAACTTGCCGCACGTTGTCATGTGAGGTTGTGGATGACCAAACTGCTTCCGACGTGAAAGTTTCCTGGGGAGCTTAGCCCTTATCGAAAAGATCACGTGATCTCGCGTTTCCGCCAATCACACGCTAGCGGAGTGCCCCCGCCGCCTTTCCGCATTCACTGTTTCAAGACGACAGCAGAATGCAGGTGCGGAGGGTGAAACGTGATGTCGCCGCTCGCATATATACCAACTCAAAGACATACTCCAATTGACTAGATCCTTCTCCATCATCCACATTGACTTGACATTGTCTTCACATCACATTGTCTTCGCATTGACCTCAGCACGAACCGCGTGTCGGCCACCATGCCGGTCAGCCAGCTCACAGCTACCTGGTCGAGACTCCTCGTCTCTGACCGCCTTCGCCGTTCGTCGCAGGTGCTTTCTGTCGTCAATCAGACAGTTTGCATCTTCGGTGGTGAGGTGCTTCCTAGACAGCCCGTCGACGACCAAGTCGATGTCTTCTCTCTCACCCCAGGTCTGTATCCAACGCGCGGCCCGGCCAACAGGGTACTCACCTCGCCAGACGTCCCCAAGCTCGAAACCAAAGCCGTCTCTTCGGCGCCCAGTCCCCGAGTTGGCAGTGCTTCAGCAGCACTTAATGGCAAAATGTACCTCTTCTCAGGTCGTGGAGGTCTTGACATGGCACCAGTGGAGGAGAACGGGGCCCTGTGGTGCTTCGAGCCTTCCAAATCTGTCTGGTCTATCATTGACCCTGCCGACCCTCTTCAGCCATACCCACCAGCCCGCAGCTATCACTGCATGGCTACGGATGGCGAAAAGACACTCTTTGTCCATGCTGGCTGTCCTGCAAAGGACCGGCTTTCCGACGTCTGGAAGTTCGACACCTCCAATCGAACGTGGGCACAGGCTCCTGATGCCCCAGCTCCGCAACGAGGTGGTACATCTATTGCCCACAGCCAAGGCAAGCTATACAGAATGAACGGCTTCGATGGCACGACAGAACAGGGCGGCAGCGTGGATATATTCGACATATTATCCAATACCTGGACGACAAAGTCATTCCCCGCCGACGGCAACGCTGGGCCAGAGCCCCGTAGCGTTTGTGCTCTGCTTCCGCTAAAATTACAAGGTAAAGAGAAATTGCTCACATTATTTGGGGAACGCGATCCGTCGTCCCTCGGACATGCCGGTGCTGGTAAGATGTTGGGTGATGTATGGATGTATGATGTTGGCGAGAACTGGTGGACGAAGGTGGAGACTGGTGGAAATGATGGCAATCCAGATCCTCGAGGGTGGTTCGCCGCCGACGTGATTAGAGGACAAGATGGGAAGGACAGCATTGTGGTTCACGGAGGCCTAGGTGAAAACAACGAACGGCTCAATGATGTGTGGCTCCTTACCTTTTGAGTTATGTGGTGACGCAAAACGTTCCATTCAGTAGCCATCATGGCTCTTGTCTCGTATGTTATCTATGCGAACTTCGCAGCAAGGTATCTGTTTCAACCGTGCTATTCCTCGCTACTAAATTTCCGCCGCCATCCCCAGGGTCCAAGTGTATCACCTAATGTGACATCCCTCTTTCACCCACAAAATGGCAGAATACATCCTCTCAGTCATCATCGAAGGTACCGGTCTCACTCCCCAAAACAGTTTCCACTGGTCTCTTGCCTTCTACCAGCCTAGCTCCAACCTCGCTAACACCTGCCAGGCCCTTCTCCTCTCCCCCACCCATCTCATATATCCCTTTGACAGACGAGATGGGGTGCTATTCCCACTACCTGGTGCGGATGTTATTGTAAAACTTGCAGAACTCAGCCAGCTGCAGTATTTAATGGAATTGTTGGGAAAGAACCGGCGCCGATGAATGGTAGGGATATGTGTCAGAACTGGGTGTTGCGATGTGTTATTGCATTGGAAGTTGAAGAGGTTTTGGGGGCGGGGAGTGCAGAATTTGTTGGTGGGATGGTTGGGGTGAGGGCTTGGATGTGGTAGAGATGACCACGAGGAGAACAGGGTCGGCTTGGTCTAGAGACCAAGAGAGCTGCGACCAGCCGGATGAAGCTAATTAACACCATAATATGGGCCGGTATTATTCGGCACATTCGGGGCGGATCGCATACAGTCCCTTTCGAGAGAGGTGCTCGCCTGTCTCAGAGCCGCAAATGCTAAAGAATCCAAGCCTCTCAAGAGTAGCCTTGTAGCTCGATTACGCTCATACGTAGGGCAAGGCTCGCGCCCTCAAATCTTACAGTCCTTTCAGATCTCTCCTGCCGACTTCCCGCGTCCTGTCTTTGTTCTTGTTCGGTAAGTCGTTGTGCATCATTAAATGTTTTCCAACACGTGGATGGAATATGCTCTCTATCATGCGAAAGGTTCCGAATTCACCTTTAAGCTTCGGACATTTGGTTGTGACTATTAGCCCATCCCGTATATAGAATAACACTGGTCTCGAAGTCCGCGACCCGGAGTCATGGCAGGACTCTTAATGGTAAGTTCTCGCTCGTTATGCAAGGCATTTACTTTTCTTTACGCACATCCGCGTACAACGCTATGTGCCTAATATACATGGCCATCACCGCCCGAAACCATTGCAGAAAGACTCCGATATAGAACGCCTTTGGCACCGCTCTCAATGCACTACAGTCTTATCACAACGCAGGACGTACCAATCTCCCACTTGCATCTAACCGAATTTCGTTCCCCGAGAACATTAAAAGCATTCCTGGTACGAATACCGGAACAGATTGGATATACCCATCGCGTTTGCCCCGGATTGAACAAGGCCCGTGGGCCTCCCTTGCCAAATTTCAACATATCGCTCTCAGTGCATTTCGTATAAATGCGCGACGTGCTTCAAGAATGAGGGATATCTACATATATATGATTATACCCTACACAAGCGCTTCTTGCACCGCTGACTCTACAATAGCCCTACCTCAAGGAATGCGCTGCCGATGCAGAGAGCCTCGAGTAATTACTCCGTCACGGTACGTGCGACGCAGTCCATGGAAAATGCGATGTGGCGCACAGCTCAATGCGCAGCCTAAGGGTTTAACCACGGTCCTTTGTCGATGGTGCAACGGCGTTTAGGTAGAGATTGAAGGCCTAGTAGACATACCGTGGTTTAGTCTAGGGAGTGCCCACCCAGCAGACGATGAGCGATGAGCGATGACACGAGGAGTAGCCGATTGTGACCTTCTACATAGACTACAGAAAGGCCCAACGCCCTGGGATGTTTGAAAAATTTAAAATATTATTTTAGTCAATTCCACTCCATGCCTGCAAGCTAGTTGCTTTACCCCACAAATCGTGTGCATTGAGCTAGAGCGACGAACTATGGCACCCATTCTAATCCGTACCTTCCGAGGGTAACTCTACTCAACTTGCGCGAAATGTATAGCAAATCATTGACGAACCATGGTTATCGGGCCTTGCAGTATACGATCAAAATCATGGCAACGACTCCAATAGCTCTCACGTTTAGGTCCACGAATGTTTGCATTCGACAAAGCGGCTGAGACTGCCGTGACCGGGACGCATTGTGGAGAAAAGTGCTCAACACCCTCATCTTCAGCAACACCACTTTCGCTTAAAGCGCTCACAAAAACGTAGTTCTCGAAGAAAGAAATCGCACTTTCACCTCCCACACTCCAACCTACTCAACGGCCTTAGTCAAAACTCCGGGGGTTGGTAGCGCCATTTCAGCCGTTAACGAAATGTATGCGTCTTTGAGCGGGCTCGACGCATCCTTAGTCGCACTGCAAATATTGGTCTTCTCTTGCAGGAAATTCTGGATATGGTAGAGTCCTCGACTGGCCAGAGGAAACATCGTAGACTACTCGTACTACACTAACACACCCAGGAATAGGATATGAAAAGGAGGGCTTGGAATTGCAGCCTGCAATGGCCGAGCGTGGGGACATCAGACACAGGATTGGCATGAAGAGCTGCTTAAGTTTACTATTGAAGAACTATTGGAGGGGAGGGAAGTGAGCGGCAGGCACGGCTTGATCCATTGTCAAACTGCTTGTCAATGGCCCCTATAAAGCACCCTAGGCCGTTCACCTAGCGTCAGGATGGAAGCATCTTGTGCAGGGGTTTCAAGCAATTCGAGGCCTCGACCGTAGCACTGCCAACACAGAGATGAAAATCCAATCCATATTAATCCTCCACCATAACCAACCCAATGAAAGGGTATCTTTTTCAAACAATATCCCCAAACAGCCTATAATGACCTCCTCAGCCTTCTCAAGATTCCTTCGCCCAATGTTTCCCACTCCATAATCCCCCGGTAGTCCAAAGCCAATAATCCCTCCCCTTAACCAGCCAAACCATCCAACTCGGTAGGGCCCACCCCATCGCCGCTCCAACACCCATACTCCTTCCAATTGGAACCATCTGCATTTCGCGGGTGTCTTCTTTGAATAATCTGTCATTGCCTGTGGCCTGGTCCCCTTCGGCGAGGAGAAGATCTTTCTTCATATTCGCCACGAGAATGGGGACGGCAGAAAGGATGTTGTGGACAGCGGGGCGGAAAGCTGAGCTGCAGTCGCCGATACTGTAGATACGGGGAGTGGCACTAAAGTTGGTGATGCGGAGGGTTTGAGTATCCGTGGAAACCCTTCCGTCGGCAGTTAAGAGGGCTTTTGGAATGAAGGCTGTGTTTGGTGTTGTTCCTGTTGCGGGGATGTACAGGTCTGTCTCTATAGTTTCGCCATTGCTGAGCGTGATCGTCGTGTTCGTTACTAGGTTCTCCAAGGAACCACCGGAAATCTGCGGTGACATAGATACAATTCGAGTGGATTTGAGAACTGTTACACCGAATTTTGCAAGCATGTCCTCAGCTTTCTTTGCGAGGCCCGGTCGCAGGATAGGTAAGATCTGGGCTCCCGCACTGACCACTGTGATCTTAACTTTTGGATTTTCAAGTTTAGAGGTGAACCACCCAGCGCGTCCGTTTAAGTATTCACCTAGCTCTCCGGCCGTTTCGATGCCAGTAGGGCCACCACCTGCGATGACGATGCTTTTCGTGCTAGGTAATGCTTTCCGAATCACAGACCAGTTCTCTCGCAAAGACTCACGACCGCCGCTGTTAAATCCAAGGAGGGATGAGGGGGTTGACGCGCCGGTTGCGATGACGAGGGCATAAAAGGTAATAATTTCGACAGTGGGGGCAGCATTAACATCGGACGAAACCGGGGCGATGGAAACAGTGCGGCCCTCTGAGTTGAGACTCACGGCGCTGCCATGGATAAAACGAAACCTCTCGCCAGGGTATTGCGCAAACTGCGTCGCGATGTCCACGAATAGTTTATCTTGGTTAAAGAACTCGTCTGAGATTAGCGCACGTGGGCACGCTGGACGACACATGGCATGTGCTGAGGGGCTGATGAGAACGACCTGGTAAGATGAGGAGAGCCTGGGTAATACATGTTTTAGGAGGTAGTGCGCTGTCGAGATCCCAGAGTAAGACCCGCCCAGAATGAGGATCGTGCTGTGCGGCGAAGCATCCGGCGCCATAACTCACGACAAAGAGAGCGTGCAGTAATGTTAAGTGAGGAAAGAGATTGGAGGATTGGATCTGAAAAATGGAAAGGGCTGGCCCAATTTTGGCACCAGAGAAGAGAAAAAACGGTCAAATAAGTTTGAGAGGTTGTACGACGATGCTTGGCATTCCTTCGGAGAAGGTTGAGGTTCGCTCGGCCCCGAGGTGCGGTCGCCGGCCCGGACGAATCAATCGGGTTCCTCACTTCTCAAGTCTCCCATTCAGCCACACCTCCACAGCCTCCTGGTCATCGCCATTCTTTTGCCTATCGATCATGAAGCCCATAATCGGCTCGATATGAGAGCGTCGGGGAGTTTCCACAAACAGTGCCCTTTCAGCCTCCCCGCCTCCCTCGGTCCAGCCCTTCTTGAACCCAACTCCAAAGTCCTTGATTGGATCAGCAAATACCTCGTCACCCCCTGACCAAACAAACACGTCGCTCACAATGCGGTGCATCCCTTCCCACCAAGTTGCATCATTGCTCGCGGGTTCCGAGTAGGAATCTCCGTGGACAGCCCCCGGGTCCGTTTCCGGATCCTCGTTTGATTTATCTAGATACATGGCAGCCCATCTTCTGAGCATAGTGGGAACGATCATGTCCTTGTTCGCATTGCGAGTGACGCTGTCGTGGTCCGTTTGGAAGCTAACCCAGGGGCTAAAGAGAAGGGCTCCGCATAAGGGTCCAGAGAGTTTAATCGGGCGCACTTCGGGATGAGGGTGCAGAAGATGCGATAGCAGAGACAGGGCGAGACCGCCACCTGCCGAGTCTCCAGATAGGATGATAGTGGAGGGAGATCTCCGGCGTTCATTAATAAGTTCCAGGAGGACAGCTACGACTTCCGTGAGTTGGATAGGGAATCTCTCGTACGGAGCCAGTGAGTACTCCAACAGCAACGCCGACGCCGACCGCGCCTTCCCTAAAGCATTCGATACCTCAGTGAGGTGATGCCAGTAGTGGCAGTAGCCGGCAGTAGCAGGCTGTGTGTAGCCTCCTCCATGCAAGTACAACACCACGACTTCGGCGTCAGGACTCCCTATCCAATGCGCCAGTACAGTCGTGCCATCCTCCCTACTGCACCGAAGCGTGACTGGCCCCAGCGTCTTCTCTTTGCAGAAGTTCAGGTAGGTAGTGGTAGTAGAGGGACTCAAATATCGCGATTGGGCAATGGTGATGCGGTGGAGCATCGTGCGAAGAGCGGCGAAAAACACATCTTTGTGGAAGGTGGAGGCGCAGTCAGAGCGAAATGGGTAGGTGATTGCTCTCCAAAGCGCGGCAGTCACTGTTCCTTGGCGTTAGCAATGGAGCATTGTGGGGAGGAAGTTGATAAATACCCATTCCACTAAAGAGACATACGAGACCCAGCACTCCTGGGGAAGGGTAGGCTGAAGGCATTTCCACTAGAGAGTTACACCGACGAAGAGAAAATCTCTTACTCACAATTTTGGCGGTGACGGCACCATTGAATGTTAACGACCAGTGGGTTGTCTCGGTCAATCGTGCATTCGGCATTCCGGGAACCGCACGAGAGCCCCGGCATGAGCCCCGGCATTTCTCATGACTAAGCGGGTCACATTCAGCCTCCAGACCCACCTGAACACCTTTTCCTACCACACTCCATGAATACTATCTATTCTTTAGTTCGTCGACGCTTACCATACGACATACGTATTAATCTCGCACCCGTACCAAGTCTTCAAGCTTACCCATCGTTCGATGGCGATGTTTGACTCATCAGTGTCCAGCAATCCCCAATCCCACCTTCCATCATCTGGCGCTGTTACCCAAGCATCCACAATTCTCTCGAGCCCCGCGTCTTGATGAGTTGGTTTATATGAATTGTCTACCGACCTTCTATATTGAGGAACTCAATATGCGTTTTGGACGTTACACTACATTTCAGCTAGCTGTTTCCTTTTGCCTTCCCCATATTTAGATCTAGCGAGATGCACTAAGATCGTATCTCGCATTCTTCGATTTAAATCCCAGGGTTCTATTTCCAGATAAATTCAGGCTGTTCATCTCAGTCTCTTCGATGCACAAAAATTCACTCTCTTACTCACTCCGATCCTCAGCATCTGAACCGCAGCCTCCTTAAATCCTCTCAACACCACTCCAACGGCCATCATGAAACTTCTGCCCACCTTCCTCACTAGTCTCTCCCTCACCATCACCACAACTGCTACACTAGTCTACCCCAACACCGCCTCCAACTGTGGCAATCCTGCCGGCCAGGCCGGCAGCTTCTACGACTGTGGTGACACGGGATTACGCAACTACAACATTAAATCCGCCCAGGTGTTGTATTATCAGCATACGGTACGCTTCTTCCGGAACGCTGATTGCTCAGGTGCACATATTTCGGTGGCGTCGGATGAGTGTGTGAACTTTCCGTTCAGGCCGCTTTGTGCTAGAATTTTGTGTTGATTTTGGTTGAATCTGTTTAGGAGGGTGGTATAGGGGAAATGAGGGGAACGGTTGAATCGGCACAGTCTGAACCGCGCAATTTCTTCGGCGCCTCCAGATAAAACATATAAATTTAAGCCCTGATGCAGAGCTGTGGCTATTTTCACAGCGCTTTTAGTCGACCGATTCTTCTGTTCCTTTGAGTGTTGCACCAGCCAGTCTTCAGCTACCAACTTATCCCTTTCCTTTTTGAAGACCGATATCCTCTTCCACGTGTACCAGCATGGATAAGAGAATTTGCAACGTATATCCCACTTTAGGAAACTCGCTAATTCAGCGTTGCGGGAAATGTTTCCGGAGCTCCGACATTTCTGATATGAGTCAGCGAGGACCCAAATCATGGCAGCATTCTTCCGATGTCTATTAGGCATTTACGAAGGCTCGCTGCCCCTCAGCTCCCTAGCTTCTCTCTACACAATATACGCATCCAACACTCAGGCTTCTATGTACTTTCAAATGGCTGGGATCCGGCTATCAGTGACTTAGATCCGTCTGCATCCCAGCTCACTGATCGATTGATAGCAGTAAGAGTCCAGATACCCTTGCTCGCTTTTACCCCGAGTACTCGTTACAGGTCGAATTTACCGACACCGCTGCTATATTCTACGTTAAATAATACGACGTAGTAGACCTTCGAGGATAAGATCCGGCCATTACTCTATTTTCACTCGCCCAACAATCTCCTATTCCTAGCCGTCATCCCTGCATGCGCAACATTCGTAGATCAAAGAATGGTTTCATGGGCTGTTATGCTAACCTCCCGTCTGCTACATAGTAGACCCTAGATGTGGATCTTTCCGCATGTTTTCCCTAGTAATAGAATATGCCGTGTCCAGTATTTTCGGTCGATCGATGTATTTAGTGCCCATCCTTATTATCCCAAAGAAATCTAAAGCGTGCACATTCGGTGTGGGCGTCTGCGGTATATTTAGGAGGATTCGGTCAGTCTTCATACTTCCAGAAAATCTGATAGCTTGCATATCTCTTTAGCATGGTCTCTCGTCATGATAGCAGCCCATGTCCCCTTCTTCTGCATCTAAGACTATGCGCTCAAACTCGGCATCAGTAAATCAATAGCGTACCTTATTCTTAGCGGTATGAATGCTGCGAATCTTGTTGATCGGATAGCGCCGACTTGGTTTGCGGACAGGTGCCACTGATGGTTTCTGGTTATTGTCCAGCTGCGACACCAAACTCGATCTAATTATGGATTCTACATCTATGCAACTAATTTCTACACACTATTGTAGAGCCTCCAACCTGTTGGCCATTTCTATCGTACTCGTAGTCGCCAGTAGTTTGAATAAAATCCTTGAACGCTCATTTACAAGACGTTATTACAGAAAGTGGAATTATGATCTGGCAGGGTAGAGTCAGCCTATTTCGCTCCTCACTAGAATTCAGGATGCTATTTCCAACTTAAAATTCCCCTGCCATTCCTACGTTAGGCGAGAAGGTTCAGTGCCTTATGTTGCCGTCTCTTAGATTTGACCTCCATATTAGGAGTTTTTCACGTCAAGAGTTCACCCAAACAATTACACGAGCTTATTGCTACACCCGCATAAAGGCCTGCTACGTCCAGAAATTTCTACCATTATGGGACGCACCAGAGGAATTCTCACTATGAATCTATCTGCCCTCACATTCATGCCCAGGTTGTTGTCCTAGTTGTTGAGCATTGAACATAGCAATCTAACGACAATTCCCTGCGAATGCTTGCAGTCCCGGCTTTCAGCTCTGCGACTAGAATTGGAATCCTGCAACCGGAAGTCACCTTGGCACCTCCGAGCCTTGGAACACGTGACAGACACATGATTACCTGCATCAACCTACCTCGAACTTCACTATATTTTCGGTCATTTCTACCCTCTAGCCAACCCCATAAGTTGCCATAACTCCCCATAAAGGTACTCGTCCGGCTTACCCCGCGATGGTCCATTTGGATGCGCCAACCTTGGAAATTCTCCGATGTGCCCAGAATCTAGCCTCGGCCTGCACACCTTCAATTTAACGATCGTCACCCATGACCCCTATATTCTACCGTATCACCATGGCATTTCGCTGCAATCTCAACCTCGTGCGACGTCAAGTCCACCTCGCTTATTACATGCCTATACCGTTCACTGCTCCAGGCTTTCACATGAACGGTGGTGAGCAAGCAATGAGCGCTGCTAGGATAGCACCGAGGTATACAAGGGCTGAACATAAGAAGGAGATAAGAAATACCACTATGAGCATTTTTCCCTTGCTGGCTTTGCCGATCTCGTGTGGATTCTCTTCCTGCCCTTGCGCCCCCAAATGGCTCGACTTTTCGGGATAGTGTTCGCACTCGCGTGGACCCTAACATATGCAGTCCCTTTCAACACCTTCGATGGGGAGGGTTTTCCGGGCTGCCATAATGTCTCCAAAGTTTACGACCCCACCACTGTCAACGAAATGGTAGCCATTGTCCAGCGGGCAGCGAGCAGCAGCACTCCAGTTCGCGCCTCTGGAAAAGGGCACATGTGGTATGATACTATGTGCTCCGATGACCCGGCAACTATCATCATTCGAACTGAAAATGTCAATCGTATCACCAATTTTTCCCTTCCTCCTGGGGCAGCAGATGGCTCTGTAATGATCGAGGCCGGAGTGACGTTCGTGCAGCTTGCTGAGTATTTGCATGTTAATGGTGCTAGTGTAGGGTATACGCTTGTAAACTGGAATATCACGCTTGCTGGGAGTATTGCGATGGGCGTACATAGGTCGAGTTTGAGAGAAGACAGCATGGTCACCGCCGGCGCTCTGGAGCTGCACATCATTGATGGCAGCGGAAACTTGAGAATCATTAAGAGGGATGAGGGTAACGACGAATGGCTTGCGGCGTCGACATCACTGGGCCTTCTTGGTGTCATTGCTCGCATCAAGTTTAAGATCTACCCTGACTTCAAGGTTTACGCGAAGCAAGAAACGTGAGTCTCCTTGCACTTGTCGTTTACAGGGTTTCCTGACTCATGCCAAGTCTCTCCGAAGACAAAGTCCTAAATGGAGACATTTACGGCATGATCTCACCATATGCCACTGCGAACTTCTGGTGGTGGCCGTACCTCCGCAAGTTCCACTATCGCTACTACGACCCCGTTCCCAGGAATATATCTGACCAGGAGGGGTTTCAGTCGACCTTCAGTGTAACAAAGACCGAAGCTAACATTGCACTCGGGCTACTGAACTCTGGTACGATTTCCCATTCTCCAGTTTAATATCCTATTAAATTTGAATTTTAATGGTAGGCAAGTATTTCCCTACATCCAATATAGCCGCCGAAGCGCTCTTTTTCGGCCTTTGGTCCCCCCCAAACTTTCGGGAAAAGTCAAGCGATCAAGCCATTCTGACTTGGCCCGTCTATGGCTGGAACTACGACGTCTTGATCGGCGGTCTCTACCCTGGCTATGGCACGGAATGGGACTATGGACTTCGCGGTTTGACACTTGAACTCGCGTTCCCCGTCACGATGGCTAATGCAGTGTTGAAGCGGGTGCGGAAGGCATTTGATGATGAACTCAAGAAAGGCATCGTGATGACTAGCACTTACAGAAGTGGGATTAATATCAAGTTCGGGAAAGCGTATTTTGACCTGCTTGGGCAAGTTACATACAACACGGCTGATGGTGTAGATTGGAGCAAGGGTGCGATTATGTTCGACTTCCCGAGTTTTAAGACGACGGTTGGGGATGGTTTGAGGTTCAATGAACCATTTTGTAGGCTTCTCAGTCTCTTGACTGCCCTTTCACCATTTATCTTTAGAACAAGATGAGAATCTGATTAGGACTAAATGCAAGATGGCCACCCTCCTAGACGACAAGTCCATTGCCAGCGCGCCTCGATTTCTGACGCTGCGCCACGCCAGAGACGTGAATCCAATACTGTTAAAAGACAGACCCGCTCCAGATCCCAAAGATCCGAGGACCGCAGTACTGGGCGATGGGACGCAACAACTATTCTCATATTTTTACCCTGGGTTAGAAGCTGGATCGCACGAGGTTACCGTCACCCAGTCTGTGAACACCACTGGAAAGGCACCTAAACAAACCCTCAATCCACAGCGACAGACGCGAAAGGAATTCGTCGTCGAGGCAGCCCAATTTTCTCTACCGGATGGGTGTGTTCACTCCACTTTCCCGGCAGAGGGAGAAAAGGCTCCGACCGAGATCCTTCCATCTATTATCTTTACGGATCCGCATCTGCCTTGGGAAAGAGAAGCTTTCGGATTCGATGTCGATGGCCAAAAACTGGACGAAAAGCGTGAGAAGATTCCCTGGGTCGCCGTCTTTCCTTTCGGGCCTTCCGAACTTCAACTTGCACCTGAAGACCTTGCCGAAGATGCAGCTTTTTTCCAAGGTACGCAAATCGCCAAAAACACAAAGATGCTGGGAAGCGGCTTCAGCAAAGTGGCAATCTTACTATGAAAATGCCATACAACGACTTCCTTCAAATAAAAAGCAATTGCAAAGGTAGTCTGGCTTCGACGATACAGGCGCCCTCGGGTCAGGACAAAAACCCAGCCGTGGAAATTGCCTTTATCAAACCGGCTCTGTTCAATAAGTTCATCACAACGTTCGACAGAGGCGGAAATGTCAAAAAAGACCAAACCAAAGCAGACACAGGCCACTATCGATATCTAGCTCACGTTCGCCAAGTCAAGACTGCAGGAATGGCGGCATCAGCAACCTATGGAGCAGGTCTCTTCAGCGTCGCAGTCTCCCACCGATCTGGGCCTTTGAGTGAGAGCTCGGAGGCTCCAGTAATTGCTCAATTGATGTCGATAGAAGGATGGCACAAGATGGACTTTGTTGATCCGATCAATGTCAAGTATGTTGCATTGGCGTCCCTTTACGGATGGACATACACCGCGATGCCAACGGGAGCTCTCACAATGTTTAATCGATTTGAAAATCTACAGAAAAGCGTAGCGCTGCTCCGGGCTCCATCTATACTACTGGATACTCTCAAGGCTAGCACAGCGCCCGCTGCGCCTATGTTAGCAAAACGCCTTCATGATGGATACACCATGGCTCGACATCGCACCCAGACCGGGGAGAACACCACGGCGTTCTTGCGTGGAGGTCTGATTCCGATCATTTCAGTTCCAACTATGAATGGAAAATTTACATCCATGTCAAATTGCGGTACATATGCAATTTTTAGACCGGAAGACTGGCATGTTGGACATTACCTACTCGGTTGCGTGGAGTCTGGGGAAAGCTTTAGCGCTAGCCGACCAGTCTTTCACTAAATCAGTTGCGGCGTTGAGAACTCAAATCAAGACCTGGGCATTCAATGAGGCTAAAGCAGCCAAAGCAAAGGAGGAGCAAGCTACAATGACTCTGGTCGATGCTCTCAAGCGCATGGGACCTGCTCTGACAACGCTGAATAATTTGAGCCAACCAAACAGCGAACAGGCGCCGGGTAACCGCTGGCAAGGAGGGCCAAGGGAACCAGCTTTGGACTTGACACTTGCAAATGAAGAAATTCGTAGCAAGGCAGCTGGACTAGCCGTAGAACGGGCCAAATCACTCGCTGCAGCAGTGAAAGATCCCAGCAGGGACCCTGAAAGCATGGAGCGTTTGTACAACGAACTGAATTCTCCCTCATCATCGGACTGGGTGGTTATGCTTTCATGGATCTTGGATCGCTTGTATCTTTTTGGAATACCCATCCAATATCTTCTTGTCGATTCATCCTTCCTTCCTAAAGAAAGCATCCGATTCTTTAAGATCGATCCAAACTGGATGGACTCATTGATCGATGGAGCACTCAGCGTGGCAAACCATATATCAAGGTCGGATGATTTCATTCGCAGAGCCATCAAAACGGCACTGAATGAATACTTCAAGCGGCAAGACAAAGACATCAAGTATCGTCCGCAAATACCGTCCTTTGGATGTTTGATTCGATCGGATCTCATCACTCAGTTTCCGGACATGAGAGTTCAAGCCCCTCTAACAAAAGGAACAGAGCAAAACAGAGCACCAATACTGCGACAGGAAGTTATTGGTGAAGGTCTTTTGCTTTGTCTTTTTGATCGCTCGCCAGCGGACATTGAACTCAGCGAGCTGTCCTTTACCCAACCTCCGCATCAGCAGATGTTCATTATTGGTGAGAAGATCACTACATGCAAGTTGGAGATGGAGTATCGACGGACTTATTCCAGAGTGAAAGACGAGGACAAGTATGACTATGGAGGGCTAGGAGTATTCGATGGCTCCAAATTCTTCCTTCGAGGCGAAAATAACGATGCTCGGTTGCTTTTGCTGAATTCATGGGTCAAGAACTTGGAGACTGCATTGGGCAAGATGAGCAAAGACGACACCAACAGACGGAACGGAATGGGGTTACTGTGTTCAAGAGATGTAGAGTGATGCCGCGTTGCGGCAAGGAATGCCGGAGACGAAGAAGTAAAGATAAAAATAGAGAAGCAATATAAGGAAAACTAAAGAAGAGGCTAAAAGAAACAAAAGAAGGTAGGTCTACGATAGAGCAGTAAACCACTACTTCTCCGGGAAATTACTATGAGGGGGACTGGAAGAGAGACCAAGAAACGTGGGGAAAACAGTCTAAGTAAAGAGTAGTAATCCTACTAGTTCTCTCAGGCTCCCCATGGATCGAGTGAGCTGTGGTTTTCGAAGAGTCCGGATGTCGCGAAACCACTTTCAGGAAAGCTGCCTGAACCTCTCTGAAGCACATTTCGCCGTGATACATAGCGGTTCACCACCCGTAGAATCCCGCCCGCCGCGATATAGCTTCGAATTGGGGTACGTTTCGGGGTTTCCGCGCCTGAAGCCCAAATACCGGTACGATTGGAGTATGCGTGGCATTTGACAGGGGAACTTGAGCTTGATAGTGCCGGATTTCATGCGGTCCACTACAATTTTGGAACACCACTTAGGCGCAAGTTGTCCAGCTCTAATTGCGTTACGGTTGGAGTGTTCTGTAGAAGCCTTTGAAGGGAGAGGGCCGTGTGCCTTGATGATTCCACATGAGTGTCTTCTCTTGTTTCTGGATTGACACCTAGGCCGTATTGGGGCCATTGAGTCTCAATTTGAACGGCTATAAATGCGAGAGGATGGGGATGAGCCGGAATGGCGGCATAAGACGGATAGTGAAGCCCCGTGACTTCTAACGTGTTCGAATTCGATGGTGATTAGCGTTTTGAAGCAGTTAGAAAGAGTTGCACAGGGAACCGACTTGAGGGAGCTCTAGACGAGGCGAAAATCCGGTTTTCGACCTTCCGACGACGACGATAGCTCAATAACTACATCATCCACCCTGAGTGGATTACAGCGAATCCCAAGGATTCCTCTTGAGCTTTCCTCCCGTGGATAAGTTTCTTAATGAATTTTATCGACTATTTTCTTCGACGAAAAGTTATTTATATGACGGTGTCCAGAGTCTCCGCTGACCGAGTAGGCACACTTGGTAGAAAGCTTGAAGTCCTACTTTTGGAATATCCTGACAGGCACCGGACATTCCGAGCCGATAACAAATTGTCGTTCTTGAAAAATTTGAGGAAGGCGGAACGTTGAATGACAATGCGAGGCAGGGTGGGGACGAGCAAGAAGATTGAAGAAAGTTCCTTGTACATCAGCAGCCGCATTGCTCATGTGCATTAATGGCTTGGTGTTCGAAGCCCAGGATTGACCAAGAACTGCACAGGAGAGCTTTTCGCCACAAAGGTGTTGCTGAGAGGTTGGTATTTGTACCGTGATCGTGCGCTGGGGAGATTTCATCGGACAAGCAGGTGATGATTCAGCGCATGTTCCGGAAGGAAAAGGCAGTCTTGCGGGAGCTCTATGATTTTTGCTCACAGAACCAGCGCACACCAGTGTCAGGCTCGACCTATCGGTGCTCGGCGTATTGCTCTATCAAGAGTTGTGGAAGACGTCACACGAGTCGCTCAATCGGATGATACGTCATGAATGAAACTGCGCATTAGCAGAATGTCCACAAATGTTGCTATGGGAATTCTCATTTAGCATTTGGAATTGAATGACACACTGACTGTGGAGTATAGGCCCTCATTACAAGCGAACCAACTGAAGGGACATCAAGCCCACCCTACCAGGCCGGTAACCAAATTATTCCCCGCCAAAATTTTCTCCTTCTTCTCCTTCAGCTCTTCGACATCCCAATTGGCCCACAAAAATTTGCCTTTCAAGAACTCAGCCTCCGGGCTAGCTAGCCATACCATAAAGTGGCCCGGTAGCTCAACTGCAGACTTATTAGCTCCAGCTTATCTTAGATGGAAACACTCACGATCATCCAAGGGTAAGTCTGGAAGCGCAAGAAGTCCTGAATTAGTCAACATATCCGTCATCACAGCGCCAGGCTGCACGCTGTAGAACCTAAACGCAGGGTTCTCCGCCTGCAGCGTCTCAACAACCCGCGCCGTCGCGATCTTGGACCCAGCGTACCCCGAAAAGCCAGGTAGTACGGGGTTGAGGTGGCAGGCACCGGCCGATACGTTCAGGAACACGGCATTAGGCACTGCTAAAGCGAGAAAGTGTCGCGCGAGGAGGAAGACGCCTTTAACGTTAACTTCGAAGGCACGCCACCAGTCCGTGAGGACGGGGTCTAATTTGGTCTGCTCGGTGGAGCTGTCCCCTGCAGCGGGAGTGGCGGCGGGTATTGGCGCCACTGTTGCTAAATACCCCGCATTCGCGACAACCACGTCGATGCCGGCTGGGGCCACTTTCTTCACCTCGTCAAAAGCGCGCGCAACGTCGGCCTCACACGACACATCTCCAGCGACAGTGGTGATCTTTGTCGAGGGCCAGGCTGTTTCGGTCGCGGTTGCAACGGATTGCAGGGCTGTGGCGTTTCGGCCCATGATGACAATGTTCTTAGCACCAGCCTGTGCGAAGGCATCCACAATCCCCGTGCCGAGCCCGCGCCCGCCACCACTGATAAAGACAGTCTTCCCGGTGGCAGAGAGCTCGGGACGAGTCGGCGAGATGGCCGGGTAGCTTTGGTGGTGGAAGGTATTGGAGTACTCGATGTATGCGAGTGCTGGCGGCATGTCTGGTAGACTGGGTGAGCGCTGGAGATTGATGGACGGGATGATGGAGGTGCAAATTCGCTGATGGAGTGTTTTTAAGTCTGTGATTTATTAAAAATCCGTCAAGCCTGCCAAGGTGTGAGACGGAGGGCCTTGATTTGGAGCGGATATAGTCCAGGTACAGCCGAGCATGAGCCTTGCCATGCGCCGGCGTTTACGGTGGCGTTAGGTTGGTAACTGGTTCTTGGAGATAAATCAGTGATAAGATCTTGGCGGCGACTCTGCACAGTGTCAACGGAGGAGTCACCCTCACAGGGGCGCAGATTGCATTTCGTGAGACAGGGGTTTTGGCATTTCTTTCGCACTGCGAGTTGCAGTACCCTCGTTCCCAACGGTCCGGATCTCTGATGCTGAGCAGAGTGCACAATGCCAACAGTTTCTCTTTTTTTTTGGATCTAAAGACAAAAATTGAACCTCACACAAGGATTCTTCCTCGGGCCAATCTCCGTGCTATGCATGCTTTCGTTAGACTGCTCTTAATCCCTCCCGAAGCTCGCTCCCTCTGAACGCTCGGTCCCAAAAATCGTGTCGGGAGCTGTGAACCATTTGTTGCTTCCATTTGCTCCCTACATTATCGCGCATTTGAATTAGCGAAATGTTTGTAGCAACCACCAAGGCTGAGAGTTGGTAGCGTGCCTGAGCACCTCCGAAATGGTCACCGCTCTCGGCCTATCATGATCGGAATTCACAGCCACCACATACGACAAGCACGATACGAGCCTCTCAGCTTCACAAATTTATGTATACATTATGAACGCTCTCTGCCAGCACCGATCTCACGTGCGCGATGCTCGGACGCAAACAATTTACAACAGCTGCAGGGAAGATCTTCACAGTTTCTGCCGCCTGCTTTCTCCGTATACACGTTATCTCCACGGCTTCATATCAAAGGACTAAAGCCCCAGATAGCTTGCAGTGCTGCTGCCTTTCAACGCTTCGACAACGACATATTCCTTTATCCCTGTCCATCCTCATACGCCTGGTGTTATTTCATCAGAGAGTTCCTGCCGCGGAGCGTATGGATATCCTCATTAGTCTGAAGGGTCCTTTTTTTTCACACAGTAGGTGTTAGGCTAGCTGACGATTTGTTACAGGTCGCTCTTCCTGATCCACATAAGCAATTACTCCAATAGTTAAAAACTAATTGCTATTTCCAAGAGGGGCTGCGGTGCGCAGGGAGTAAAGGCTTCTGGCATGTTGGCATAGCAAGAGACAGATCCTATTCTATATCGTGCCGTTCGTGCTAGCATGACGAAAGACGGATGCGAGAATAAGCGACGAGGGTGAGACGGATGTCGGTAAGAAACATTACTTGTCGAGCTAAATGATTTCTGCCGAGCCATTGCCGTCAACACTGACAACCCTTCTATCGGGTAAATGTCTGCCAGGGCATTGCAGAAAAGGTTGGATCTATTTAACCCAAAAATATATATCCCGATTGAGCGTCAAAGTAGTAGGATGAAGTTGGTACGAGTTTGCTTATCTACGATACACAGATCCTTCAATGCTAGAAGGATGGATGGCCGCAGGGTATTACCCTGCAGTTTTTCTAGTTACGAAACACGTATAAACTGTGCGATAAGAAAGAAATACCACACACTTCGTCTATTTTAGCCTGGGGAAGATCTTCTTGGGGTGAAATTCGAATTCTCCGTTGAGATAGAGCATTCGGGCTTGCACCGAACACTTAGCCGGTCTATGAGACAGAACTCTGCGATTACAAGGCATGCTGCGATCCCCACTCGGGATTGTCGATGCTTCCAATCAGCTCAAGTTTCGATGCTATAGCATGTGTGCGCCTGCCGTAGCGGAATTCTCTCTAGGTTGTGCTCTTACCTAGAATTCTACTCAAAGAGACTCTTCTCTTTCCCGATCCGCCTCAGAAACGTACTAGTAAGTTTTAGATACCTGTGGATAACATTTTGGAAGAAATTGTTTGAAGAATTAGAAGTAGTCAAATATAGAGTAGGTCGCGTCTATGAATCTCAAGAAGCCGTGGACTTCCTTGCTGGTGACTGTCGCCAAGTTGGCGTTGTTACTGAGTTGTCCCAAAGCGATGGGGATGGCGAATTGGAAGGACACCAGCATCGTCCTGGATGCGCGGTAATGCCCTCCAACCCTTTTTAGCCTGAGCGACGGTGGCTCAAGACGAGGAGGTACATACCGGCCGTTGCCACCGAAAGATCTGTAGGTGAAGATGTTGAGGGTGATGCCACATGGGGACGCTTTGAGCCGCAAAGTTTCCAGCCGCCCACGCTAGGCCGAATACGGTCCGCGGGTCCAACGAGGCATAACTCGTCTTTCCTATCGCGTCTTGGTGAGTTAAACGTAACTTACTTATACATACTTGTAGAGCGGTGATAATTTCTAGAAGAGCATTTGAATCACCAAGGCGCTACACTGGGCTCTCGCGGAAGGATTTTGTTAAACGGTCCGGACCTGACGCTAGGCTGAATACAGTTGGGAGGCGCAGCTAGGCAGCCACGAGTATGAACGTTGACGTTGAAATGTCTTCGGACGTCCCCGACCAACACACCTAGATTTCCTCTATTCTTGCAGTTCGCTTTTCCTGAATCCGCCATAATTCCTACGGCGGGTTTCGTCGCCTTCCCCAATATTCTGCGCCTCTAGTGTGCCGCACACCGGCTTAACTTCTTCTCAAATCCCGTCTCAGATATCCCTTAGTTCACAATTGTTGAAGGTTGTCAGCGTTCGCCCAAACGCATTGTTCGAACCCGCTCTGAAAATTTCAATGTCTCAAACACCTGAAGCAGTCATCTTCCCCCCCTTCCCCCTCCCCCGAGAACTCCGCAATCTCATCTATACCCACCTCTTCACATCTGCCCCTTACCTCCCCGGCTCCTTCTTCGGGCTTCCGTTCAACCTACACTATGGATACCGCTGCTGTCCTGAACCCACATATTGGCGTCATAAGGTTAAGCAGAGATGGTTGCTGACGAGTAAGAGTCTGATGGCTGAAGCGCTCGAGGAGTACAAGAGGGGGGCAGAGTGGGTATATTGGGGGCCTGGAATGGACAAGCTGCTCGGCGACGGAAAGCGTAGCTACAACCTATCCGGGCTGTCGATCACCATCCCAGGTACAAATCCAAGCCCATTTCCGATCTCAGCCGTAACCAAGATGCCGCCCAATATGTCTGAGGGGCCTGCCGAGACTGTCGTCAGAGTCCGCAGGTTCTCCCTCTACATTGGTAACCTTGCGCGCTGGGAGACTCCATATCGCCGCGAAGGCGTAGACGGTCGAGAGGTGCTCGAAATTATCGCCAAGACGCTTCGTCGTGGCAGCGAGAAGTCCCCAAACCGCTTAATTGAGGTCAACACAATACGCCTCCAAGGCCACAGTTACCTGCTTAATGGTGGTCCAGATGTCGATGGAAGGCCAACGTGCTCTGGACAGACAAAGCACATGTTTCGGAATTTGAAAAAGGTGCTGGATAGCGCGGGAGTTAGGGTGCGCCAGTGGGAATTCGAGATCCTTGATGGGAGGACCCACATTAGTGAGGTTGTGTTCGAAGTTGAATTCAAGGGTAGAACGCTGGCGTCGGGAGATGGAGAGGAGGAGGATTTCAACCTAAACCTTGTGGTGGATGAGCGAAAATGGAAAGAACCGACTGAACACATAAAGCGGGTGCATACAACCTATTGTGAGGAGCAGAAGAGGGCGCGGAAGGAGGGTGAAAAGAGACGCAAGGAGGCGGATGCAATGAGAGAGAAGAAGAGGGCAGAGGAAAGGGCTCTAGTGGAGGCCGGGAGGCAACGAAATTGACCTTCTTTGCACCCTCTTAACCTGTGAAGGAGTGATGACATGAAGGGCCAGAGCCATGCTGTTGCTTGGATATCTGAGTCCTTCTCGTTTGAGTCGCGAAGTCCGACCATTCCCGCAGCGCTGTCGCTCGCAACACCGGGAAAATACCGATATCATCGTCGCCTTCGCGCCTGGGTGTGGAGAGCCTCATTTTATGGCGTAGCCAACACAGCTCCACCACAGCCCTACCACCGAGCCCTCGTCGGTCCTGATAAGCATCGAAGTGTCGTATCTGAGCCTTGTAGCCTTATCAAGGTGCGGAGAAGTCGCCAGCAGCCTTGTGGCGGTCATTGCGCCCCGTATTCATGCCATGTGGCACGCCATCTAATAACTTCCAATCAATAGAATGACAATTCCCGCCGTTTCGAGTCAGCGTGTGTTATTCCTGCATGTACTGCATAAACTTTACAGGATAATTTATTATTTGTAAACAACAATGCCAAGGCGGTGGCTAGTCCGTACTCAACCTTGCTCTAGTTCTAGCTTCTCAGCTTTATATAGAGTAGAATAAATTATTACTTTCTTAAACTTGTTTCATACTAGCTTAAAGTGTCTTACCTTCTTTAATCTTACGCCAACATTACCCCCAAACTTATCCCAAGTAACGAAATCGAACCTTTCCTCCGGCGGATTCTCTCTTCTCTTTAGTACAACCTTTTCTTCTACAACAGCATCATCAAAAACAAGTCCTTCAAACTCGCCATACCCGATAAGTCTGAAACTATTGCGTCCACATTTTCGTAGAATAAGTGGCATCTCGCAGCCGTACATAATGCAAATGAAGTCTCCAACTATTGCTCCGTCTGGTACTAGGCCCATATACTTCTTCCGCGTTATAGCAAATTTTCGTGAATGGCATCTTGAGTTACATTCTGAGAGCCAAGACACAAGAGATTCAAAGTGCGACAGAGCTGCGCTAGCCGCAATCTCGGACAGGGCGTCGGGCCATTTGGACTGGACAGACGATAATTGCGTCTTGAGGGCTCCAAGAGCTGATTCAGCTTTGCTCAAGTTGCTAAGAAGAGCTTCGAATCCTTGAGGCATCAGACTGTTTTCGGGAGTAACACCCCCACTCAACGTCCTCCAGAGGGAGCTCAATGGGCTCTGTCGGGTCGGATACGGGGAACATCTTCTAGCAAGTTGCACACAGTCATCAATCCATTGTGTGATGATTCTAAGGTGCTGCTGCATTGGTTCGAATAACTCTGTGGGGTCTTTACTTTGTGGATCAATTCCATGTGCGTGTTCCCGGGGATATACATTCGTCGAAAGAGCAGTGATTGTGTCGAAATGAATGCCCTTTACATTCAGCGTGTTTGCCTTACCCAAATAGAATTCGGGCGAGCAATGTAGCGTGATGTCGTGATATATAGGATCCCGTATATAAGACTGATCGGAGGTTGCCAAATATGAGCGCCAGGATGGTTTCTTGTCTTCATATGTAGGGCATACGGACATATGGCCAAAGACGCGATGCGGGGTTTTGTTTGCCCAATCCGCTACCCAGGATGGAAGACCGTTAGCACTGTCTGGGTCGTATCTAGCAAATCGGAGGACATCCAGAGACCTTGTGGTACAGAGTATTGCCTTGGTGGCGTTGATAAAGACTTCTTCTTTCGACAGATTATAGTCGACCTTAAATGGAAGCCACCTTCGGTTTTTACCAAGGCCTACATCCCAGCTGCCTAACGTGCGAGCATCATCAGCCAGGCTGAGTATGCCGTAAACCTTGTCTAGTGGGTTGGTTGCCTCTGCCCATCTTGTTCCTGCAAGATAGTTTAACAGGGTCGGTTTGAATTTGTGTGCCGTGAGGAAATTGGTAACTTCGAATTTTGCCTTCACAAGAAACTCCAGTTGTTTGATGGCTGTCCTTATGGGTCCCCCTGGCAGCTCGTGTCTTTGGGGGTGGTACGACATAACCATGTCTAAAACTCCAGCCTTGATCATCGAATTTATGAGCCTGAGAAACAAATCCAGGTCAATAATATCTTTCCCACAGACCATCATAGCTCGCCGAGCAGATAATGCTTCTTGGATGACCCACACGCGACGGAACCATGGGCGATAGAGTATTTCGCTTATTGCTCTCCATCTTTGGTGATGGCCGTTCATCGCAACTTCATCGAAAAACCGGCTAGGAACCGCTGCATCATAGTCTAAGTGTTCGCTTAAACCGTGGAGTTCGTCAAAAGCCCGCTCACTAAGCTCATTGCTTTCCCCGAGCCATATGTGGACGATAGCCGCCCTACAATATACCTCTTTCATTTGAGCGACCTGTCTCGCGCGTTCGGCAAGGTCATCTTGGTTAATGCAGAGAGCATCAACCCAGAGCATCGTGACTTCCCTTTGACGCAGGTGAATTAATGCCAGGTAGAGGTTTTCAGTGATCAAGGAGACCCTTTTATTCACCAGAATAGGGATCGAGGGGTCGCATATTCCCCATGTATAAGAAAGAGCAGCATAATCTCCAGCGGATTGCAGATCCACGTACACAAAGTCGCATTCAATGGTGCTTAACGTGTAGCCTGGCTTGATTTGAAGTAAGCGGATCTCTCCCTCACGAAGCGGTCGGCACTTTCGAGATGTAGAAGGAAGAGTTCGTCGGAGATACGATGCTATTCTCTGATTAGTTATTGTCTCCGAGGAAAAGAAGAACCCTACTCCTGAGCTCTCGTAATCGCTTCGATCGAACCCAAAGCTTAGCTAGAATGTTCACGCCAAACTTATGCGCCATTCGTCTTCTGGCCTTTTGCCAACCGCGCCTTCCATCGTGAAACATAACGAGTGCTAATTGCGGTCCTACCAGTTCTTCCGTGTATCCGTGCCCTAGTGGATGTTTGCGCAAAGGCCCGCCTCTTATATGTAGGTTTTGCTTAATATGGCTGTGCCGCCGTGCTGCATGATACCCTTGCTCAGTGCTCCTGCAGTTGGCTGCGACCGGAAGGCTGAAACCGTGAACTACCCCTTGGCGTCATACACATTCTCACAAACTGCGATCGCCAATATTCTGGAATAGTGTTTGACTCATATAAGGAGATCAATCGGATTTTGTACCTAAATGGCCGTAAGGTATACACAGAGGAAAGTCGAAACGCTAACGATGATTTGGCGGATAGCGCAAACGCCTGTGGTAATTCCAGATCACAACCTTACTACAGCCCTCGTTGACGAGTTTCCGTGCCGACCGCATTGGACGAAGAATACTCGTGATGTTTTCAAGATGGCAAAGAAGAATCTCGACCCGAACCATCTCGCTAGGTTCAAGGCCATTCGAGAGAAGTTCGATAGAATGGGTATATTTAAGTCCGTAGTTGGAGAGATCCTCGAGGTGATGTGACACTGTTAGAGGACATGAACATACTGCGGTAGAGTAATACAGCTCTTGGTTCACTGCCCTTAGCATCCCCCTTCCTAGTTTCCCTGTTAGGCCTCCAAAGGTTAGCTCTCTGTCGCTTACATGATTGCCATGCTCATTCGTTATTAACCCACCTAACTTTGCACATATCACGAACAGCGACACTATGGGGGGATGAGCACCCATACTATTAATTAACTACAAGAAAATAGATTTCGCACAACTACTGCCATCCACTACACACCAGGAAGCGGCTGGAATGCCGGGGTATTCGGCCAATTCCCCAACTTCCCGGGATCACCTCCAATCCTCACCCACGTCGCATGACTCGGCGTCGGGCCATCCAGCACAAACATTCTATACCAGCCCGGAGGGCAGACATACGGCCCCGGTGGTGCTTTCACTGTGCAGCTTGCTCCCGAGCACGACACTTCTGGGAACAGAATTCTTGCGCCCATGCTATTTCCATGAGTACTGGACTCCGAGCCAAGTAATGAAACACGGACATTGCCGCTGACTGCGGAAGTCAACTGGAAAGCATACGTGCCACCATTCTGCCAGTCCTTCTGTGTGATGGTAAAAGTAGGGACTGCAGCGCCCGAGAGCCTGTACGGTGGAACGAAGACCTCGAGGCGGTATTCTTCGGGCCAGTCCTCGTCTTGCGGGTCTGATCCACTAACTAACACCCTCCCATCATCCATCAACACAGCTTCAGAGTGATATAGACGCGCAATGGTAGTGTTGGCCATGACACTGATACGCTGGTTCGCCGGTTTGGTGGAATCGTAAAGCAGGGCGTTGTAGTTGGGGTTATCCGCAAGTCCGAACCCAGCTTCTCCGATCTCGGCGCCGTTGAGAATGAGGAATGTGCCGTCGGGGAGAGTGGCCATGCAGGAGATAACGCGACGGGTGGGCATCCGCTCGATGGTCCACTTGGGAGCTGCAGCGTCAGGAGCGATAGATACGCAGTTGTCGATGCCCCAGTTTGGATTTGGAATAGCACCGCCGCAGACCAGGACTTCGAGGGGGTCTGTGTACGGCGCGTATTGTGGAAACAGTACTTGCGTACCTTCGTAGGGATATGTACGGCCACCTGCAATGTTGTTGACAGAGCCGGGGACCTTGGGCAGGATCTTGACGGTATCGAGAGTGTTTTCGTCTAGGATACGGGCTTCATTATAGTACAGGATGAAGATGCCGCCTGAGGGAAGAACAACAAGGAAAGGATAGAGGTTGAACGGGTCGGTATCCTTCAGGTACTGGGCAAACTTTACCGGGCCGACTTTAGGAAGGATTTCCATGCTAGGAACTGGAGCGCCGTTTGAGCCTTCTTGACCACCCACGATGAGCATCGAGCCATTTGCCATTACCATACCGGTAGGGTACCAGCGCCCGGCCTGGAGCGCAATCTCATTGACGTTTTCTTGCCAATCATTAGTACCGTTTACACCGGGGGAGCCATCGGGAGTGTATATTCGGACGCCGAATGTCGACTCAACGGACCATCCTCCAATGTTGATCTGCCGTCCAGCCTTATCCGGCATCGTCAATCCCGCTGCACAGAAGATGTCTGTCTTGATACCATGCATCTCCCTGAACGTCGTAAAAATGTTATCCGACAGCGAAGGGTCGAACTCATAAGCTCCCGTCGAATTCGGCGGTCCGGTACCTTTCTTCTCAAGCAGGGAGATCTTGCCATTAATGGCCGGTTGACTAATCAAAGGCACTACGGGCCCGCCGACGAGGAAGCGGTACTCGCCGGCATTCACGCCTTGCGGATAGTTCCAGACATAAATTGGATCGCCTACCCATTTGTACCACGTCAGGCGAAGACCAGCGCCGCAGAGGGCCTCTGGGTTACCCGGGCACGGCATGTTGCATTCTGTTTCAGAGACATTTTGGGACCCAGAGGCTTCGATGCCATCGAGGTCTCCACAGTCTGCGGAACTTTAGTATCTCCGCTTGGGTTAGAAGGGCATAAGCTCGGGACTTACAGCATTCTTGACCGTACTCCATTCCAGCGGCCATGTAGCCATATTCGGCACATTTGCTCAAGCAAGAAGTCGCGCTGTTGTTAGCTGTATCTATGCTCTGCCACGGGAATACGCGATTATCTATTGGGTCACTGAACCTCATATTAGCACTCTTCTCGCCCCCAAAGACACATCTACTACTCACGTAATACAACCCTGATACTTCCAGTTCCCAGGAAGGCCAGTCGTTTGGGCCTTCGGCTTCTGGACTACGGTCAGATTTCCCGTGGCCCACACGGAAAGCCTGTCTGGTCCTCCACACTTCTCGCCTGCAGCACCAGCGCACGCCATCCCGCACTCGGTATCATCGTTAGCGAGGGATCCGCCTTGTCGGATGAAGTTATCGCAGAAGCATTGGTAAGAGTATTCCATACCGGCAACCGTGTATCCCGCATCTGCACAAATATTTGAGCACGAAGCGATGGTCATTTGTTGGTTATCCGGCTGTTGAAAGTTCATGATGCGGAATCCTGGGCCGTCGACATAACATCCCTTGTACTCGAAGCCAGCCGGAAGACCAGTTGCAGTAGCCGTCGCTGTATTCGTCCTCGTTGCCGACGCTTCAGTCGCAGTAGGCGTGGGCGTCTCAGTTGGTGTTGATGATCCAAATAGCTTGAAGAGACTCAGTCGGTTAGGCCCGCCGCACATTTCTGTCGCATTCCCGTTGCAAGCCATATTGCAGAGAGCATCTCCATCCGGTGCCAGACCCCCGCCATTACGAAGCTGATTATCGCAGTAGCATTCACCCGCATATTCGGTGCCTGCGATCGTGTAACCCGCAGCCTCACACGCCGCGTTACACTTCGCATTCGTCATAGCGCCTTGCACGACGCCTCCGAACTGTAGCGTTCGCTGGGCCACACTATCCGTATAACAGCCCTGCGCAATCCAACCTGTTTGGGCCGCTGGTGTAGGTTTCGCGAGTCCGAATTCGTACAGATTGATACGATTGGAACCACCACAGATCTCGCTGTGGTTGCCGTTGCAGACCATGTCGCAGCCGGAGTCAGCGAGAGCGGCGTTGTTTTGGATCGTGTTGCCACAGAAGCATTCTCCGGAGTACTCCACACCCGCGTATTTGAACGACCCTGCTGCGCAGGCGGAGGTACAAGCTTTGGGGGTCATGGCAGATGGGCCGCCGTCGATGATGCCGTTATCAGAGAGGGTTCGAGCGCCGACGGAGTCTCTATTTTGGTCATATCAGGACCATCGTTCAGCTTAAAAAGTGCGGGGAAGACGTACGAGTAGCAACCCAAGGATCCCCAATCCCCAGGTCCTGGATTCACTATGGGACTACTTGGTGATGTAGCCGTCGTAGCCTTCTCGTAAATAGAGAGCCGGTTTGGTCCGCCACAAGCTTCACCAGCTGCACCACCGCACGGCATATTACAGCCATCTGAAGCCTGTGCTCCAGGGCTAAGAACCGAATTTCCGCAGTCTTGTTCAGATGTCAGCATTGCTTCTCTTTCAAAGACTCTTAATGCTTAGTCTGTAGAATGGGGTAGGAAGACTTACAACATTCCTTCGAATACTCAGTCCCAGCAAGCTTATATCCCTTCCCCGCACAATAAGCAATACAAACCGCTGCCGTCATATCATCCCCACCGCTGACCGCGCTCCTTAGTGACCGAGTCCCAACATCATCGGTATAACATCCCTTGTAGCTCCAACCATCAGGAAGCGTTGTTGGGGGCAGTTGGCGTTTGTGAAGGTAGTTGTGTCTGGAGGTGAACCTTGCAGAAGCGAATGCAATTAAAAAGAGAATTATAGTAGATATTTTTAGAGCGAGTGGACGTGCCATAACGACACCTATTAAGGGGGGGTATTACAATTGAGTGAGGGAAATATGAACGACAAGTTCAGTGTAAATAAATAAGCAGATAAATGAATGACTACGAAGAATGATAGTGACAGGCGACTGTCTGGTTAACAGACTGACAGACTGGCAGATCACCGACACTCTGGATCCGGATCCGGAGACCCCCAACACTCTTTAAAGGCCCCATGTCAAATTTCAGATCAACCCCCTAAATAATCTCAGCCCATACAATTCATTAGCTCGGTGGAGTATCGCGTGAGCCTTTTCTAACAAGAGTATACACAGTGTACTCATCTAGGCGAAAGACGGCATCTCGCCCACTTTCAGATTCAGCTCAGCCTCTAATAGCGGGAAACACGGGTTTGGAAACAAGAAGCGAAGAGCATGGTCAATACGACAGAATGGGGGAGATTTGCCTGTCAAGGTTGTGAGTTGATGGATTTATAGCTCATCTTGAATCATATCTGATAGCCGCGCCGAAACTTGTGGCGGAGGCTGAGTTCGGCCTGGCCAAACTTCGAGAATGGGGGCAAAGAGAGGGGAAAGCTTGGGGGTTCACGCCATGCTGGGAGGCTGTCGGTGAGAAGCCAGAGAGGGAGGAAGATGGGCAGGAGTCACCGATATCCCCCTACATGGCTGATGGCTGACACTAGCTTGGCGGCTACAGGGTCTTGGACACGCCCGACGGGAGACAGTTTGAAAACGGGGAGATTCCCTACCCACCATGGAGTTTAGGAGAAGCATGGACAGGTCGTCCGGAGAATAGATAGGGACGAAGTGGAATCTGCGTTGCATGTTCAACATTTCGGACATATTTGGTGGTCCAAGCTTACGCCACAATCACTCCTCAACAATTCCCAGTTCCCTGACCCTGCCGAGAGTGGCACCGAACCTTGGAAGATCTCAGCATCCAGCGCCACAGCATGGCAAGCGAATCAGCGAGCCGACATCGGTGTGTTGTTCAAATATCCAGCTGTCAGCGGCCAGCGCCAAGGCGGCAGTGCTATGCAAGGTACACCCAGGCAGCCACTGCATGGGAAATTGAAAGAGTGGGAATGTAGAGCGCTTATCAGTGACGGTAAAACCATAATTTTGGTACCATACTGAGAAGGGACAAGCGCATTGAATGTAGTGGTGGATTTGTGCGCTGTGATTAGCATTATTGCAGAGTTGTCTAGCCTGAATTATGTATGTATATATATGTTATGCGTTCTCAAATTAGAATTCGCGATAGCGCTCAATTGAAGGGATGCAGTTGGTTGTTTGGGGGGCTATTCCCCCTAGCATTTTCCTTCCTGCCACATCTTCACCGACTTTACAGTCATTCCCCTCGCATTTCCTTCTCCCCACGTTGGAAGCCACTTATCCTGAGCTATGCACGAATTAGAAGGGATGCATACGACGCATATTTGGAGGATTGGCCTACCTTTAGCAAAATCTGCAACAGCAGTTACCCCATTATCAACCCACGGCTTATTGAATTTCCCGTCACTGCATCACAGACATTAACATCTCGCATTCATCCCCAACAGGATAATCGGCGCACTTACAAGAACCACCCATTCTGCGCACCAACCGCCACATTCAGGATAAGATAAAACTTCTCGTCAAAAGGGGTGTTTGTATTCCCAGTCTTCGACCACGGGTTCTCGACAACAGTTTGATTCACCGTCTGACCCTCGAAGTGGCCTCGCTCCCACATAGATTCTTTAGACCCGAATTTCATATAGAAAACCTGCTTAAGCCGACTATCGAGGTACGTGAATAGGTACTCTTTCGACCATTGAAGACCAAAGGTGTGGTAATCGTCAGTGAAATCGGTGCGACGCAGAAATTTAGTGCCATAAGTACGCCAGTAGGCATCAAGTTTGGAGGAAGGGCCTAGGGGCATATTAGTGTGAATTTGGGATAGGATAATTGGAAATGTACGAACCCCAGTGGAGCGAGCTGACCATGGCGTCGCGACCGAGAGGGTATTTCCAAGAATTGCCACGCATTTCCATGATGTCAATTTCTGCGACACATCAGTTAACTGAGATTTGAATACCGTAAGGGGGAATGGCGAAACACACCACCACTAGCAGGCCATTCGCCATACTTGTTCTCCTCTGGCATCATCCCTTGCTCGCGTCAGTAATGTCAACTGCTGGGCTCAGAATCCAAACACTCTCACAAATTGCAGGCCATAGCCAGTCACCCCGCGGCATCTTTGCCGTAACTTCAATCCGCCCGTACTTAATGGACTTCTTCCCCTTCGTCGAAAGGCGTGCGGATCGAACCGGGGGAATCGTTGCCCCCGTCGTAGCATTTGAGTGAATAGAGCAAGCCTTGTAATCTGTCGATGTGCAAGTGCCGTCTCCATCTCCAGTCTTCGTGAGATTCAGGGTATAGCCATTAAAAATCTGTTCCTCTGTGATACCAGCGGTCTCGGTCGTCAAAGTCGGGACGATATGGAGGCCATCCGCATCAGTGAAGCTGTTCTTCTTGTCCGCGGTCGTCCAGTCGAAGGAGCCTGTCCCAAATCCACCGATCTACAGAGATGGTTTATCTCAGCGCAAGCGGAGATGTGGACGGTGAATAACATACCTGAACTTCATGAGACCACACCGCGTCGTCGATGCCATTGAAGTGATCATCCAAAATCAGACAATACTACTCAAGTGGTCAAAATCCCATATCACTGAAGAGAGAAGAAGCCACAACTTACATCTCCAGTCTTCGCGTTTTTTGCGCCGTCGTAGCTCAGGTAGCCACTTACACACACAGCTCCGAGAACGAATATCCAAACAATTATGTTACCGTACTTCGTTCTTTTCAGTCGCTTGTCATCGAGCCATGGTTGACTATATCTGCGTCATGGATCAGATTCCAGTTCGAAGCCGCGATGAACAAGGGATGGATAGACGCACTCGCCCTTAAGCCTATAGCTCCTAAATTTATGCCTCGCTTTCCTCGCCGGAATGTCGTAACACTGGTTATTCGATGAAGGAATAGGCGATGACACACGATCCGATTCGATAGTGAGGGAGTTCCTTCTTGAAGCAACACGAGCATTGGAGAAAGGGAACTTAATATCTGTAAGACCCATGTTGAAATTCACAAACGAATGTCATGGATAGGAAGTCAATATTCCAACGACCTGGTTCCAGAGTGATGCTCATTTTGCAAAAGTGCCAACTCGGAGGATATACCCAAGTCTCTCGCATCCATCGGAGTAAGCGCGCAAAGATACACAATGGAACGCCTCGGTATGCCGGGCCACAGGCAATGAGTTGGCACGAAACAAGCCGCAACATCCACAGGGATAAGGGATGATGCATGGTTCCTGTGGCACAACAAGCGGCTTTAGATAAGGCGGCTGCTGATTTAACGACAGGGTGTTTATCTCCCGCCAAGGGAGGTGAGTTTATAGTGTGGCGTTTAGACTTTCGTTATTTCGGAGCGAAGATAAAAATTGCTCCAGCTTGTTGCAGTCAAGCTCCCGTCTGAACCTCAGCCGCCGAACCGCAGGAAGAAGGGAAGGCCAGTGCGGGAAAGAGAAAAAGAAAACCATGTTCCTAGATATGCCGCTCGGGATAGGAAATACACACCGGAAATTTTCGTTTTCCAGGCTAGACGAGAATCTTCCCTTCTCCCATACCTATTTTCTTTTCGGGGTATGGCATTTAACCTTCTACCTCATACCATTCGATGCTTTTATCGATCGTTTTGGATATTTCTGCAGATTATCTACATTACCTATGCAAAGTGTTGAGGCCCACTTGTCAACCTGAGCTTGCTCAATTCCAATGATTCGGCAAATGCCGTAGACGGAACGACCAATTGCAAGACCTCCCGTTTACCCCGGCCCGCAAATAAGCAAACCATTCAGTATGTTATTGGCCATGTCTCCTTTTTTGCCCGACTATCTAGCCGCTCTCCCGTCACAGACGCTGGTTCCATGGCCGACAAGCTTTTGGCCATGCTCTGGCCCGACGCCACGCGCTCATGAGACAACGGCGTTCTATGCCATTGTGAGCGCGGCCAAGCTGTCAAGAAGTTGTGCAAATTTCGGAGCCGGGCTTAGATGCATCTGTGCTTTATGATTCCCACGCTTCGAAGGGTGGTGGAAAAGAGCGCGTCGGTTTTGCATATCAGCCACCTGCAGGATTATTTCTTCCATGATTCAGCATGCTGACTACGTCACACGAAATGTGGTGTCTCGTGCAAAGTTCCTCTCCCCATTGCTCGGGGCGCGAGCTCTAACATTGGATGCTGCTGGTCTCATAGTCCTGCTGCTTCTAGTATTTCACCGACAGTTTTCGCATCGTCATATAGCTATGATTCTCGTTTCTCGCCTTGGTTGTAAATTCTAGCGACGTGGATTTTAGAATACTTCGTGTTCGTGTTCCTCGGGAACATCAGATCCATCGATCTCCTTGTTCTGATCTCAGACATTTTCTCTGACCTTGACTCGTATGCAACCAGGATATGAACTTGCCACACGTCCGATGTAAGCTCCGAACATGTCTCTCCAGCCAATCGCAAGTGCGAATCCGAGCATGCATGTTACCGGTCTCTAAAATGTTAGAGAAATGGAAATGCCATGATAAGGAAATTGTGCCGTCGAATGAGCATTTCCTTATCGTGATAACTAAAAGGGGCGGCTAGGAGCATCTACTCATTCCTAGTGCACGTAGTCACAGATGATCCGAAACGGTCCGAGCGGCCGGTACGCGGCTCAGGAAAAGCGGCGCAGCCATGCCGTTAGCCCAAAGTGGCCAATGCTTGGCTGACGTTCCGTTAATGCTTCCAGGAATTAGCACCGCCACTGCGCGGTAACACTGTGTAGAGGTGCATGTGAATGGACACGCCATGGCTTTGGATCCCGTCTCTCCTCTACAATGGCGCTTGATCCGATTGTGTTGATAGGGATGAAATGGTCTATTGTCAAGAAGGGGCAACTTTGTTTCAATGCGTCCAAGAATAGACCCTGTTGAGCTATCGAAGACCAACATCTGCATATCCACGCCCTAACTTATCTGCATGCCAGGTTCTCCTTCCGGATGCAGTTCCATTGCGGTCAGAGCAAGAGTTTGCTACTCCTAATGGAGAAATTACCCCTGGACATTACTGCCAACCCAAAGCTGCAGTAAGGAGTAAACTCCTTGGCTTGAGAGTGAACTCATTTGTCCGCCTACCCATGCCGCCATTTCTCCTGGATGTCATTTCCCGTATCTTTCGTGAGCAGAGCCCCATACTTCCAATAGCCATCATCAGGCTGAACCGCCTGTTCGACATGAGTATCGACATCGAGAGCACTGACAATATTGAGCGAGTTCTCAGGTGTGCCTGACGCTCCACAATGGTCCTTGTGTCCAGGATGGACCCCGGAGTTCACAGGTACTCTGTTGAGTTCTGAAAACCATTGGTTGGCCTAGGTCCTATTTCTTAACCTAACACTACTTCTCCACTTATATGGACTTGTCCGTCTGTAAACGAGGACGGGAGAGAAAGAGAGGCCGCAGTTTCGCCTCTGTCAGGGGACTGTATCGACCGTAGATGTGTGAGAAGCAATTGACGGAAGCGAATCTCTTCAGTGGGGGCTTCGACTTTGCGATGGAGATTTGCGCTGGGATCCTGTATTCCAAATTTGGATATATTCGCCACGATTGTTGGAAATTAGGGGGCTGCACACAACGCCTCATGCAGGAGAGCAATAAGGCAAGATACTAGCTCTCATGGGAACTACCGCACCATATCCCAAAGGTATTGGATTCACACATCGCTTGTTGAGATGGAAACCGCTTCACCTTGTGCTGGTTCACCACGGAACTGCCTATTCTGGCACCCGGATATCTAGAGGGCTGGCTGAAGATCGCCTTGCATCGGAATGGGCGACCCTAGTTTCACAAAAACGAGCTCGAGGGTCTCTAATCCTCATGTGGCTTGACTTCATCGAAGCGGTAAGGCTTATCATCGATCTTTTAGGTTTCGAAGGCTCACTGATCCATAGGTGCTATCGCAGTTTGATTCTTGCATGCTCTAGCTTTCCGAAATTACTGCATGAAGCGGCGGAGGATTGTTGACTGAAGCTAGTGCTTTGATATCCATATCATTCCAGTTACCCTGTTGTGCTCCCCTCCCTTCTTCAATCCCAACTGCGTCTGTCGTTACCAGGGTTTTCATTGATTACTGTCTTCATCACCTGCGCAATTCATTGCTGGGTCGTATTTGTTTGAAAGGGCCCACGCCCACACATCATCTCCTACCCTTGTCGATACGTACAGTCGCTTCCAAATATTTTCGTCATGGATTCGAATGTGTCTTCACGGAGGCCATCGATCTCGGAGCACCGTTCATCTGGGTCTGCGAGATGGTCCACCCCGTATGATTCCCGTCGCATAACCCAAAAAATTGACGAGGACACTAAGTTTAGAGCTGTAAGTGTTCTAGTCAGTTCATCCTCATTGTTCAATCTGACTGGCTCGTAGATTATTAAGCATCTACACGGGAAAGCATGTTCTATGCATTGGATGATTTCAGGCCCAGTGCCACGAGGTGCCTGCATGGGAGTTCTGATCCGGAAATCTGGCGGAGAGTACGCAACTGAGCCCGAGCCCGTGGATCAAGAGCTTTACGATGCTGTCAAGAAGATCAATCCCGCTGTCGCATTGACAATGTCGACCGAGGGAACCGGCGCCGTCTTCGATGTCATCGACCCTGGAGAATCCATGCTGCTTTTCGGAAACGGCTCCCAAATTCAGATATACGACTCAATGGCAGAAATCGCATCCTCGAGTGCCATCAGAAAATTCCAGTACGCTGCCTTGGTTCGTCAAGAAAGGATCCTACTTGTCTGGCACGACGACCTCGGGCTTATTCTATCACACGCAATGGAAGTTGAATCCAGGATGCTGGCTCTAATTTGGGGAACAGGTACCTCTCCATTTGGCATCGGCACCAACCCATTTTCGACAGGTGTAAACTCCCACAGGGCTTCCGAAATGGACCTAGTTACAGAGAAAGGGCTAGCTGAAGTCTCTGTTGAGGAAGTCAGCAAAACTGCGACTGACATTGAGTCTGGGGTTCGTGAATCGCTCGCTCGACCTCTCATCTTCACTAGCTCTATCTTTGTCGGTATGGCTGCGTTTGCCATCCTCGTTTTAGTAGTCGGTCTTGGCAACAGGGCTTTGGTCCTCCAGACTATGACCGATAAATTCTGGATGCGTCTCGCTCTTGTGGCTACAGAACCCATCTTCCTTCTCTTCGGCTTGTTCTTCGTCATCGTAGTGTTCGGAAATGTTTTCCAAGCCATCGGTCCCATTACTTCCGTAAAAACCAATTCACGCTTCTACTCTGCGATCAAGCCGAGCTTATCGCAAGCGAGGAGCATTGGGTTCCAACCGCCGCCGATCACCATCCAGATGCCCATCTATACCGAATCCCTAAAGGGTGTAATCGAGCCAACGGTTCGGAGTTTGAAGGCCGCCATTTCTTACTATGAGTCGCATGGTGGGACTGCACGCATCTTCATGAACGATGATGGCATGGCACTTAGGAGCGAGGATGAGAACCGGGAGTTTCTCAATTTTTACCACGACAACAACATTGGATGGGTCGCGCGCCCCAAGCACAACCATGATGGCTTCATCCGAAAGGGAAAGTTCAAGAAAGCCTCCAACATGAACTTTGCGCTGAATGTCTCAAACAAGGTCGAAGACACTCTCCAAAGCCTTATCGATGCCCGGTATCCCAGCGAGGAAGCCATCACCGAAGACCAAGAGGCTTTGCTGTACCAGGAAGCTCTCCAAACTGTGCTGGCTGCCGATTCACGTGCCAAGGCTGGTGGGAACATTCGCATGGGCGAAATCATCTTGATCGTCGACTCTGATACCCGTGTTCCGGAAGACTGTCTTATGTATGGCGCTGCTGAGATGTTCCTCTCACCAGAGGTCGCCATCGTCCAGCATTCTACCGGTGTCATGCAGGTCTCTGGGGATTATTTTGAGAATGCTATCACCTTCTTTACCAACCTAGTGTATACCGCCATTCGATTCTCCGTCGGTAGCGGCGAGGTAGGCCCTTTCGTCGGTCACAACGCTTTCCTCCGATGGCAGGCTGTTCAATCGGTGGGAGTCCATGAGGATGGCGGATATGTTGCTTTCTGGTCCGAGAGCCATGTCTCTGAGGATTTCGATATCGCCCTACGTTTGCAGGTTACGGGAAATGTTGTCCGCTTAGCCAGCTACCATGGCGATGGATTCAAGGAAGGTGTGTCGCTAACCATCTATGACGAACTCAATCGTTGGGAAAAGTAGGTCGCTGCAAGCATACTCAGCTGCCTCTGGCTAACCCTCTCAGATACGCATACGGCTGCAATGAATTGGTTTTCAACCCCATCCACACTTGGTTGTGGAGAGGTCCATTCACAAAGCTCTTCCGCATCTTTCTTTTTTCAAATATGCAACTTTCCTCCAAGCTGACCATCGTCGGGTACATCTCATCATGTAAGCGTAGTGCCGACAGCTTCCATTTCATTGCTAACTATCGAAGATTATGCTCTAGCATCATCGGTTCCTTTCGGCATTGTGAACTATTTCTTGATTGGTTGGTTCAACGGCGACCTCGACAAGTTTTACGTTGAATCCTGGAAGAGTGAGTACACGCATCCTCCACCTCCGGAAGCTGACTTACGCAACTCAGTTTTCGTCTCGCTCATTCTTGTTTTCAACCTCATGTCCAATGTCTGTCTTGCTGTGATGCGCTACCGTCTTGGCGACATGAGCCTGTGGTCATCCCTTTTAGAAAACTTTAAGTGGATGCCGCTCTTCGTCATCTTCTTTGGTGGTCTTTCGTTTCACCTTAGTCTCGCCATTTTGGCGCACATGTTCAGTATCGACATGAGCTGGGGTGCCACCGCAAAAGAGAAGGACGACTCCAACTTTTTCAAGGAGTTACCCCGCATTTGGCACCGATTCAAATGGATGTACATGCTCATGATTCCCCTCGTGGGCGCCATGATCTATCTCGGATGTTTCGCGCCGCATGGCTGGGATATTCAGGGTTTTACAGCCACGGTCCCGATGGCGACGATTGTTATTGGGCATATGTTGTTGCCGTTTGCATTGAACCCTTCGCTGATGGTGTTCAATTATTAGAATATGATTTGAATTAGACGGCACTCTAGACTGGAACTGGGCGTGTGGCTTTTCTTCACTCTGCTCTTTGCAAAATTTCAATGGTAAGTATGAAGTGCGGGAGTTTAGTCTTTGGGGTATGGAGTCATATATTAGATACATCGGATAGTATACATGGGTTAATAGATAATCTTAATTTGGGTAACGGCTCGATCTCAAGAAGTAGAGAAAGTATCCGCTACAGGAGAATTGGAAATCACAACAACATACCTGCTGCGCAGCGTTGATGTCCAGCAATTCTCGGGATATATCTAAAAATCCGTGTCCGGCACTTCCATCTCTTCCATCACAATATTGGTCGGCGAACAAATGCTCGCCATCAAGATCGATCTCCACTCCGAAACCTTCGGTCGTTCTATGCACATATATCATTTTCATCCCGACACCTTTTGCCACTTGAAAGTCATATAGATGTGATGCAAACATCCAGCAATCCTCCAGAGGCAAGCTTACCCGCTCCACAGCCTTCAAATATATCGCGTGATCGGGCTCGGTAAGACCGAGAAGTTCCGAGGACATAAGCATGTGAAACAGGATTCCAGAAGACTGCGATGTTGAGATGGAGCCTTGTAGTCCCGTTCGCCAGAACGATCAGAAACCAATTTCCATCCCTTCGGAGATGCTCTAGGGCGGAGGTAAATTCGGGTCATAGTCATTAGAGATGTCATTGCTAAAGTAGTGAGCTTCGACATCCATCGTCTTAGAGGTCAAGACCGATTCCTCTTTCCTCTAGCAATCTATCTAGGATTCGTCAGTGTGGTGTGAGGTCGATGTCTTCGTTTGCTTCTCCACCTGCGAATGGAGCGTGGATGTCCTTAAAGAATCCCTCGCGCCGTGCTATTGCAAGCCCACGCAATCCGTGTTTCATGGGTAGCAGTGAAGGGTGCGGAGGGAGACTGATAAACTAATAGTAAAGCCGATGGCCAGTCGCTGCATATGCATGCGGAGACCTTTCACCTCGGAAGTGACGTAATCTATCGTACTGGGTTAATCCTAGCTCAAAACGGCCATCCCTTAAGCACATGCCTGTGCGCGGTTCGATAAGCGTGTCTCCTGCGCGCTCGGTGAATTTCCAGCATTCATGAGTATTCAGTCACCCTACAAACCGATAAATGCTTCTCAAGTATCTGGTCCGTCCGTGAACATCATTCTTCCCTTAATCCGCTATGTATGGAGGCGGAACGATTTCATTAGCATCTTGGTTCCAATGTCGATTTACTTTACTCAACGATAACCCCTAAAGAATATATACTCTACCGGTTCCTTGGTCTAAAGTGTGGTCATAGCCGCCGTCGATATTCCACCCTGATGCATAGCCTGCCAGCTTCAAGCTCCTTATTGAAACTTTTTGTTGTAATTCGTTGGCCCGCCGCAAGTATCAAGATAGGGTTTTCTAGCTTCCCATATAACTTTAAAGCACCAGAATTCATTCTTACATATGTTACACTTAAGATGTGTACACCCACCTCTCTTCTAAATCCGATTACCGCACCCAGCTCTTGAGCACATTCTACTGGAGCGTGAATTTCTTATTTCGAGGCAACTTCGTGTTCCCAGCATTCTGTACTCACATTACCGTTCTCTAGTGCCTTACTCGCCATGCCATGAACGTTGGTCCTGTCTTGCTGCTTTCTCACATCAATTTGGAGGAGGTGCTCGCAGGCATTTTCAAAGCATTTCTCGATAAATGAAGCAAGGCGCTTGTTGCAGTGCAGGCAAATCCACTCCGCGTAAGTTTCTGTCCTTATTTAGTATTTTCCACACGCTTTTCAATATTAAATGCTCACCTCCAGGGTCGTGTATTTGTCCGTGTCCACAGAGACTCCATCAAAACTTTTTATTCTGCGACAAGATATTCTGCGCTAGTTTTCTGTTGTATCTAGGCTTCCGTCAGAATTTTTCTGTCATTCAGGGCCCACCCTCCTACATGTTCAGAACATCTGCTGTTAGAAGCGAACTCAGCCGGTTGACTGGAACTGGTTGCCTGCATTCTGGGTCCGGACACACCAGGTCTTCCAGTCGCCCTTGACGGATTGAAGTTTCCCAAGTTAGCTTTAAGCAGGCATCACAAACATTTCGGTCGTGGAGACACATGTCCGTGGGAGGTCTACAAGTCTCGAGCGAAAAAGGGCCGCATAGCACGCTACATTCTTCAGCAGCTTGCACGGCACAGTCGTAGGGCGGCCGACCATGAAGTACGGCAAGAAATTTTCTGCAATCGTCAGGGCTGCTACAAAAAACCTTATAACTAAGTTGGATGAAGATGGTCTCACCGCAAAAGCTCCTGATTCATTTTGAGTAGATTCCTAACTTTAGATTCATGGACCCGCACAAGGCTTCGGCATCCTTCTCTTCTGCATGTAACCCTGCCCTGAACAACTTCGAACATATAATTTTGGTCACATGTTGCGCATACGCCAGGACAGCTGCCAATTTTTTGCGAAAACTGGCCATGACCTACGGAACACGTAGTCCCTTCGAACCAGAAGGTTGAACGCTGAGTTGGTGCGGAATAGTCATGCTTTTGAGAGCAGACTATGCACCTCAGGCTCAGTGTATCCTTTACAGGTTTGCAAAATACGACATTAACCTGCCAGCATATTTTCCAAGCTTCGAAGGCGTCGTCTACCATGATTTACTCTTTATATGTACCAGGTCTGTTGCGGATATCCGGAGGGCAGAAATTTAGAAAGAGGTCTAGAGGGACTTAAAATCTTTGCATGTGGATTCCCCTGGTATATGCCTTCCGACAAATCAAGAGTTATGTGGCTGATGGCTTCCTGCATGGCGAAATCTGATAGCCAGGAAGTATCATTGCGCCCCCACATGCCCCGAGTGGCTCTTTGAAAGTGACAGCTCACTTGCCAACTTGCTCACGGAGGCTTACCACTCTTCTCCACCGGTGAGTTGTAAGGCAGAACCTAGAAAAACAGACCGAGGAATCTCTAAGTCTGAAAGAGCTTGTTGTCACAAAGCCCTGTCCTTCTTCCATTAGAGTAAATGCCCCCCCTGCTCTGCCTCCAATCCTCTATTCATCCTTTGGAACCACGTTCTTCTCTAAGATTGTGAACCCTCAAAGCTTTCTCGCTTGATCAGAATGGCTGGTTGGAAATCAGTTGAAGCTCAAGCCAGCGCCAACTTCCTCGAAGTGGAAGAATTAAACGCGAATGGAACTGACAGAGAATTAAAGCAGAACCGTTGGTTGAATGGAGTATCTCAGTCAAGTACCGTCTGACATATGAAGAACACCATAGCTGCGGAATTTTTCAACTCCGCTGCATGAAGCAGCATGCACATTGCACGCTTCAACTAGAATCTACAACACAGTGAGTATACCTTCAGAGGAACTGTATGCGCTAATTCCAAAAAGTGGAGGATAAGCTCTCATCTTTTGGCGTGCAGAATGCATGTTCTCCCACTACGCTACAATTGCCGCTAGACCTAGGCGACACACTCTACTTCACTCGCGCCGTCAAAACTCATACTCCGAGTTATGATCTCCCACCGCCTTAGATCCACCAAATCTTAAACAACGTCATGTTCCACCACGTCGACGGTTCAATGTGAATTTTTCACCGCATTCCGATTCCCTGGGCAGTAAAACAGCTCTGAACAAAGCTAGGCGAGCGACAGGTTATGGAGGTTGAGTACTACGGGTTCATCTGGAAAGGGAATCAGCTTGAGGAGTACGTCTCCTAATCACAAGAATTCAACGTTCCGACTGACTTCTGTCTTAGGACACTTGAAAGTAATATGCTTCCTGAGGTACTAGCGGCCCTTTTATTTGCCTTTGTAAGCATCGCTAATCTCGTTGCTATAGGATTATACGATTCACATGTAGCACGCTTAAGGGGAGGGTAGGATCATATCGCAACGTAACTCATCGGGTCGGCAGCACATGAGGTTGAGATGGACTGGGGAAGGGGAGCAATGGCAGGGCGAACCTCATGAGGCTCAAAAAACAAACTGAAGTTCGAAACTGTCATCTTAATTCTGAATCAGCTCTCGGGGGCGCGGTGCATACATCTTGGCTATTCAATTCCAGCTGTGGCTTCCACGGAACCTTCAAATTGGCCGTTAATATAAGCCTTCACTCATACGTTCTCGCGAGCGATGTCACGACCTAATTCTCGCAAGCCATTGCTTCACTTTACTAAATGGTGACCTATCACGCTAACTAATACCCAGTCCGGCGTGCCAGTCCAGCTCCACATAGCCCCGCAAGGCTCCACAGGGCGCCACAGGGCGATGCGGGATTTTCGGAGACATGTGTTAAAGCCCACGCGATTTGGAAAAGCAACCAAGTCGCAATGTCAATTTACCGGTCAAATTAGTGCCTACAAGCTCGTAATAATTGGAACAGTCATCTACCGGCACTAAAGGTGGGGACAATGAAAGATATCAATCTCAAGCTGACCCAAGACCCTACCCGTCACATATCTCAGCCTCGCAAATCACATACGTTCTCTCCGGCCTTTCCAAATTGTATCCCTGTTCTAATAACTAGGGAGTATTCTGATTGTGGCCGTCTACACATTGCCCTAAAATGGGCGTATCCACACGATCCCAGAGTGGATTAAAACGTAAAAGGGAGGAGCAAGAAAAACAAGATAATAACTTTGACTACCAGAATGAGAGGCTGATTGATGAGAATCGGAGGTTGTATCGGCGCCTGCACACTCAAGCTCGCGAGCATGAGGAAATAGAACAGGCCTATAAACGACAGGTTGCTAGACTTACAAACGCAAATGAAAGCAACGCCAGGACCCTGAACGCCAAACTAGAGGATTTAAAACGTAACTTTCGAGGCTACGAAGAAACAGCACGTAGCTTAAGGTCTCAATTAGATGAAAAGACCGACTCTCTACAGCGAACCAAGTTAGACCTAAATCGACACCGAATGGAATTGAGCAACGCGACCCGGAGAGCTTCGAAAGCAGAACAAGAGAATACGGTAAAGAACCAGCAGATGGAATTCATGATACAACAATACCTTCAACTAAGAGGGCCTCTTGCCGGCTGTTCTGCATATTTCAGGAAATCAAATGCCATCTTGGAGGAACGAATTGTTGCCTTGTCAAAACTGACCAACCGGGTCTCCGAACCATGGGATCACGTACGTATAAACCACTACCTTGGAAGACCCGAGCACAGTCTCCATCATGCGGCAGCTACTGGAGATGTGAAGGAATGCTGGAGGCTTCTTTGCGAGGGAGTGAAGGTGGACAGTCACAATAACCGAGGAAGATCTCCCCTTGCCTATGCAGTGGCTCACGGACAACTGGGAGCCACGATTCTGTTGGTTGAGGCTGGTGCTGATCTGCATAAAGAGGGGATACCATTTTTGGACCGTCCGAAGGATATAACCTTCCTGGCAGTGTTTATGAAATCTTCTTTACAATACACAGGAGAGCTAGCAGATATGTATGAGGCTATAGCAGAATACCTTCGGGCTGAGACGGGAGTGCTACGAAAATTCATGACCCCAGGGAAAGGTCTGAAAGGCTTCAATTTCTGGCTACTTGCAAACTCTTCACGGTTGTTGAGTGGGTATCACTACCCTGGGCCCAATGAAAGTAATAAGCTATCTGAAGAGAGCGAAAAAGGATCCTGTTCGTGGCTAAATTGAAGTTGAACAATAGATTGAGTGGGTGGGGTTAGTCCGAGGGATTAAACAGCCAAAAGAAATTACTACCGAATATGGGTTTCATACATATGATTAGGAGTATGGATCGTTCGTTAAAATCTAGTATGACAACATCTAATGTAAGGTTTTAGGACACGATCTTCAACGGAACCTCCTTTGCCACGGAGTGATCGCCCGCCAGTCCATCTGTGAGGTGAGCTTCTTACCGTGTATATCATCTAGTTACTGAGCATTGTAGGCATTGCAAAGGCCGTCGAAATCAACATCATGAAATAGATTCATTGGTCTCATCGGTGTTAGCTGTGGAATGCACACTATTATCAGCTAGTTCGACAACGCACTTGCTTATGGACTGTGGGATTCGGCCACTGCCATTTCCCAAAGCATAGATCAGACAAGAATATATTCTGGGAAAGCGCTACTAGGTTTAGAGCTTTATTCATATTCTTCCAAACTGTGTACGTTGGAACCGTGGACTACTTGGTGGCAATGGAACTAGTGGGTTCAAAATTGAGTCGTGGGGGGTCGGCCGGTACGTTGAATTAAGGCACACGCCCGAGAAACGTAATATTGAGCACATAGAGTTAAGACGGAGAATTATAGAATTGCAGAGCCTATAGCTTAACGAGAGCCAGAAGCAAAAGAGAGACAAGGTAGACGAATTCAACAAGCCAGGCAGAAAATAAACGAAGCGAAAAGAGATACTTTGATTGCAAGACAGAGTTCAAAAGCTCACACAGGAGAATAAGGAAAGGGAAAGGCAATTCAGGTTTGTGCATGAGCACCGCGCCGTCACTAACGAATGGAAGCGAGTCATCGAAAGAACAAAGCCAAGCAACTAGACAGCAATCTCATCAAACGCCTGGCGTTGTAGAGCAGCATAACTCCGGGATAGAGAAGAATGAAACTGAAGGCAGAAAGGGGGCACATGCTAGTACATCGGACAGACAGCCGGATAAGCCTGATGATGAAAGATTTTCATGAGTTTATGGATTGAGGGCTGGGTAAAAAGTAGTAAAATGAACGAAGCACCATTCTCCACTTCCCCTCTACGCTTTGTTTGCAAAGAGTCACACACTAGGCTCCATAGCTAAAGAGACTTAAAAGGATGGCGAGAAAGTGGAGGGTCCTCCTACCCTTGCTGCCTTACTGCCCAAGCTCTTCGGAAGGGATAATAGAGTCGCGCATTCTAGTAAGCGGCCGACAAGCCTTCCCAGAGAGGAGGCCTTGGAGACTAGGCGACGCATGTTTGACAAGGTAAGAAACTTAGCCTCTAGCTTCCTCAAGCTTAATGAGGAATGGCTCTAGACTAGGATGTTCCGTCCTTCTATTTCCTTAAGTGATTTTCCTACCTTCACATGTTTACCTCCACTGCAATGATAAGAAGACCGGAAAGGAGCATTATGACTAATAACGAAGAATCAGCCAGAGCCCAAAAGCCATCAACTCCAGGCACAGAACCGGCGCAGTTGAACTGAAAACTCCCCCTATGCTCAAACTCAGGAACATTCTTAGGAAAATTTTCTATGGCTAATTTCCGATAACCGGCTTGAAAATTCGATTTCCAAACCCTGAAATATATTGACGCATTTCATTGTCTCCCTGTATTGTTGTTCATAATCTCGGCTCATCTCGAGGAACAGATCTTGACTAAAACCATCAGTATATCGGGAGATTAATGCGCTAACCCAGATTACTCCATAATTTTTTATTGATAAGTTTAGTAGGTTTCCAAGTTGTGTTGAAAATTCGGGTTCGAAGGGCGCGAAAATTGACCTTGGAAGTGGAGTGACGTAGTGGGGCAAGTAAGCATCTTCGCTACTCGTCCACTCATTTGAATCTACAATCAGTCCACTACAGGTCTATGATAGGACCAACTCCTGTGGATCAGCCTAGGAAAGAAGTTTCTGGTCTATCATACTGAAGACATTACGGTGTGATATTTCAGAAACTTATCCAGAGGATAGTGAATATTGTAAGCGGTGATGCGACGGGAGCTGAGTCTCCAGGGTGGTTCCGGCTGGTGTTTTCGCAGCCGAAAGATCTAGTTGATGAAGGGATTAGGAGGATTACCGAGGCTCTCGATTGAGAAAATGCCTCTAGGAGAAACCTGGATGAAACATGCAGGAAGACTGTCCAAGGTCATCCATGCAGGTGGATGATCTCAAGACTTCGGAAATAGAGCTAACGGCTTTGCCAGCATAACTTAAGATGAAATACGTCTCCGACACTGACCGGGAATCGCAAAAAAAAAATTGAAATTTTGCATTTCTCATCAGGAAATTGCTCAGAACAATGCAGAGTGCAAGATGACCTCGGAAAATGTACATGCTTGCAAGTCCGTTCCACCGCGTAACAAATTTTATGTCCAAGGAAAACCGCCCTAGAAAGTACTAGAAAATACAAACGAATCAGGATATAGTGCAAAACTACCAAGACCAGAAAACGTGCCAGCACTTCGAATGCCCCCACTCTGACTCTCACTCCCACCCCTTCCCACTTCAGACCTCACACCCTTCCCACTTCAAGCCTTACACCCTTGCTTGCACTTGCTGTTGAAAAATTCTCTCATCCCCACTCTTCGTCCCTAGCTTCAACGCTCTCAACCCGGCCGGCAATGACGCTGCCACCGACGACACCGTGGTAGCTGCAGATGCCGAAATTGACATAGGCACTGTCGGCATAGGAGGCGGCGTGTCTTCGCCACTCATCTTGCGGCGGGACACGATAGAACCAGTGGCACTTAGCGCCAGAGATGCTCGGGGAGAGGCTGGAAGGGGAGTCGTGCTGCGTGGTGGTTGGCGGCGATTGAGGTAGACCATTGCTGCATTCATTGAAGAATTCGGGGGCATAGTCGGAGAGCCCGTAGGCAGCTGTGGAAGTGGGTCTTTCGGTGGAGGGAGAGGTTGATGATTGCGATGACTTAGTTGCTGAGCAAGAGAAGAAGACTGCACCTGTGCCTGCGTCTGCTGGATTACCTGTGCTCGTGTTCGCAGAGGTTGTGGAGCCGGTAGGGGAGGCGATGCGTTTGCTGCAGCACGAGTGCGAAGTCCATGTGAACTGATGCTAGAAGCGATACTTGGGGCCTTAGTGTGACCTCCGCTCAGTGCTTGAGCGTGCGCATTTGGATTGTAAGTTGCCATTAGCTGCGTGAAGTCATACTCGGCTGGTAGTCGGCTCAAGCGACGAATATTTGACATATTACTGTTGATAAATGTTGACATCCGGCGAAGTGCATTACCCTGTTGCTGGCTTTCGAACGACGAGGGAGCCTGGAGGTTCTTAGCAGCACGTGCGGCGTGAGCATCAGCTAGACGTCTCGATTGTGGAGGGTCGTAATCGTGCGATGACAGGCTCTGGGAGTTTCGTTGCAGCGTTTGCTGCGCACTAGCAAAGATCTGTGCGAAGTCTACTTCGACCCCGTTCCGGCTTCGGAGTCCCGTTGACATGCCATCGCTATATGACATGTCCGGTGGTTTAGCTAAAACAAAGAACGAACCATCCATGATCTTGCGGCGGACGTTGTTCCAGCGTGTGCGTGCAGGGTTATTTTCGATTTCGGGACGGTAGATCGATTCTTGCGAAAGCGAGGCATAGTAGGCTTCAAGGCGCGCGGCAATCCTTTCGAGGACGGTAAGAAGATAGGATGCGAGTTTGACCTTGAATGAAGTGTTAGCGTGCCTCTTATTATGAAGATCTCAGTCCTCCCTCACTTGCTTAGAGCTCGCGGACTCGTCCATCGCAGCAATCATATCAAAAGCATCCATGCCCAAAGCAGTCTCGTCACGGATATGCTCTAAAAACGTCACATCGAGCTCCGTGATCGTCTGCGCGTATCTCAGGATGCCGTTCTCATGAAATCGTGCCAACTTGCTGCTATTGCACACAAATTGGCCGACTTCAGAAACCTCCTTCATGGCCTTGGTAGCATCAGGAGACGACTGCGCTCGAGTGATCGTGCCGATGATATCGGGAAGCCGGACATTGGGTGCGACTGCGTTCGCCAGAGAATACGAAAGCTTGAGATAAATTTCCTGCAGTTTCGCCCCAAACAATGCCGAGAAGCCATTCTGCATCAGCCGGCTCTGGAACTGGTAGAACTTGCGTACACCACCAATGTTAAACAGACCACCAGAAAACCATACCTTCGAATCCTCAAGGATATTGTTCGCTTCGAAGTACAAAGTCGTGAGGCTCTCAACGCTCGTTCGTAAGTATTGGTACCACTGATCGTAAATGTAGCTCAATTCGCTGGACCGGAAGTCGGGTTTCGCACCAAGGTGGCCGATGAAGTACTTGGACAGAAGACTCGATACTTCAGGATTGCTAGAGTGAGCAAGGTCGTCAAATGTTTTTGTTGCATCAAGACCAGCACTAGCAGCGACGATAAGAGTGCCGCCCGGGTGCATTGGGAGGAAGTCCGTTATGTCGTACACTCCACCATGAACGCCAATCCACATGCGTGACCCTTTTCGATGGCCTGTATGAATAGCAAGCCTTGACATGGGTATCGTCGGTGTTGTGTTAGGGATAGAACGAGGCGTCATGAAGATATCGAGCATGAACCGTCGCTCTGCAAAAGCCGTGGCGAGTAGAGTATCTGCCGACTCATGTGTGGATGCTTGATATTTGTAGATGGCCTGCTTGATACCAGACATGACAGTCTCGTATACCGAAACGGAGCCACAAATGTAGAGATGGCCTCCCAGCCCACCCTGGTTCCTGGACATGACAAGCTCAGAAACCAGCCTGCCTTGCTCAACGATGGTAGTATCGATATACCGAGGCTCCATATCCTGCTCAACAAGGTCTCTTAAAGCGGGATCATAGACTAAGCCTTTGCGATCGCGGGAGAATGCGGTATGGAGCTCAAGTGAGCCTTCTTGGACAAGACTCCGCAGCTCCGCCTCGTGCAAGAACTTGTCGCGGGATTGGACCCCCAGAAATAAAATATTGCGACCAATCCCGTGTTGCGAACGAGCTTGCCAGAAGCCACGAAACGGTGCAATGCCTGAACCACCAGCAAACATCGCCACTGGGACCGTAGTGCTTGAAGGCAACTGAAACTGGATCGGGCGCGATACTCCGATTAGTACAGACTCGTCATCAGAGACCGCGCACGGAAAGTCCATGAGATGTGGAGGCGGGTTTAGGAAGCCACTAGACACTCCGTACAAAGGCAATGAAGGCTGGACAGACTGGAAAATGGAGTTGCGGGTGCTTTCGGTGCGAGAGACCGTAAGATCGATCATACTAGGAAGCATTCCATCCGATGCATTGGAGATGCTGTATGTCCGCGGTACTTCAAGTTTAATCAACTTTGGGAGCCAAGCAAGGTTCATGAGGTCGAATGCTCGGTCCCAGATATCCTGAGGTGTGTCCCTAATAGCGGTTTGCAGCAAGTCGCCAATGCTGCCTTTGACTGGCCAGTCATCGGATGCGAGGATATGGAGAGTCGTCTGAGATGACGCACGGAGCATTTGGTGGAGCTGTATATGAGTTAAAGGAGAGTTCAGGAATGGGAGATAAACATACTGAAAGCACGAGATCTTTGGTGAGGGGTGCCAGATGGCCTCGCTTCAGCACCTCCTTGACAGTGAGACCTGAACCAGAAACCTTGGACACCATCTCGAGATGCTTAGAGAATCGTGCCCACTCAGATCCTTGCTCAACTGGGACAATGGCGTCCATGAGATCTTCGAGCCCTAATGCGGCAGCTACCTTTGCCGTCTCATACGAAGGATTGATTGGCATGACAGCTATTCGATCACCCTATATACAGTCAGCGCTGAACACTGCTAGAATAGAAAACCGGTAATAGAGAACCGCCTAAGCTTCGTGTGGTGCTGCAATATAGATGGTGCCATGAAATGGATGCTGTAAGCAGCAGATAGTCTTGTGACTTACTGGTTGAAAAGTAATACCCGTGTTATGCAAATCAAATGTAACAACCCCCGTAGATCGGTTGGGGTCATTATCAATCTGTCGCCTGTCCATGATCCTCGCTCGGAATCGGCATTCTTCAAAGCTCCCTCGCATCTCGTGCGGTTGAACCTTGACCTCGCCGCGATAGGGGTCGAGCCTCTCCCGCATCGCATCGGACAAGGTGCGGTGGACCTCCTCCCATGGCCTCCCATCTGACTCCCCGGCTCCTGCATTCCCATTGGTTTCTGTCCGCCCAGTCTTGGCCACGACTTCTAGGAACCCGTAGACTTTGTATCGGTGAGTTCCCATAAAACCACGCTCTCCAGCATACGATTCGATTAGTCCTTCCAACACGCCTTCCAGCCTCGGATCGCCACTAGCCTTCACAAACTCAGGTACTCGGTAGTGGTTCTCAATTGCCGCAATAAAGGCTCGAATGTTAAGCGGCAGCCATCGCCGGAGATGGACAGCTTCAATGCCAAGAAATGACGTGTATTTGGTCCTGCCGATAAAAGCATCCATTAAAAGGAACAGAGGGAGTGCGAGTCCGGAGAGTGCTGGGACACGTTTCGACAGGGGTGCACTAAATTTAGCGTATCTCTGTCCCCACTGAACCTGGTTAGCGGAAAGGCTATAATAGCCAAGCAATGGGTAAATTTCATACCTCAACTGGATTTGCAAACTGCTCACCCGAAGCAGGATTAACTGAGATCTTATGAAATACGTATGGAAGTTGATCAATAATTGACTTGAGTTGAATTAAGTCCCGAAGTAGGCCTTCGGATTCGCGATTCATCACATGCTCCTGGCATCGCGCAAGAATTTCGATGCCAGATTGGAAGCAGCCGTGTACTTCGGCCATGCAGAGCAGGAACATGGCTTCACCACGGTCGTTGAACACCTAGATCCTTTAGTATCCAATGGTTTCATGTAATAGTTGAAGGTACATACCGGCCATCGAAGGTCCATGTTTTCTGTCCTTGCGACGTAAGGCTGAACGCTGGTGGGGTCACGAAGCTTGTAGTTATAGATGCTGACATCGAATTGGGTTAAGTGAGGAAGGGCCCGGCCCATGCGAGTGCAGACTTGTCGCAGCGGAATAGCTAACATTATTAGTAAATACTCGCTATGCAGATAATACAGCGCCCGTACCAATATTTCGCGGTATCCCTTTCGTCTCCTCTTCCTCGTCATCTGCCTCCCCAGAAATGTTCCGGAAAGCTCCAGGAGGTGCAATAACACTAACACCTTCATTGCCGTCATTCACCTCCTCGTAACGGTAGACGCTGGCTAAGATACCCAGGCAGACTGTTGCTGCCCACAAAGCTCGATCAGGGATGACATCTGGAGTGCCATAAACGAGTGGAAGGGCGAGGATAGATTCTCTCATGTTTCCTCGGGCGACAACACCCGGCATTCGCTCGCAAAGGTCGGACCATATCCTGCCAGGCGAAGCTCGTAGTGCGACTGGGGCATCCGATGGGTCTGGTGGCAAGAAACCGAAGGCTGATGAAAGATATCCATCTTTCCATCCAGTTCGCGGCCCGACCTCTTCAGCCCGCATGAGAACGCGCCGAGCAGGTGCGCCGAGCGCGACAGCTAGTAGATCGACGTCCTCGGGCTGGAGATTGTCTGCATTCTTGAGGCCGTTGGTGATTTCGCGAGCCGGAGCTTCTGGCATAAGCATCTCGTTTAAGCCCTTGCGCTCCTGCTCGTACAGAAGGGAGGTTTCCTCGGAGGTCTAGAGGTATCAGTAGACCGAATCCTCGCTAGTCGAAGGAACTCACTGTGGAGTACATCGTTTGTGAGCCCATGTTCGGCTGGAAAGCTGCGAATGCGCAACCGCGGGGTCCAATACGGCTAGCAGGACATCCTCCACCAGAGTCTGAACCACTTCGCCCGCCAACTGGACAACCTCGTACGGACATGTTGATTAGCTGATCAACAGTAACTAAAAGAAAGGAAGGCGTGCGGCCGGCGCCCAATTATGAACAATAAAGAACGACTTAAACAACACAGAGTTAAAGAATAGAATTACGGAAGATAGACGCGCAGCATGCTGACCAGGACTGAGGCAGGTGAGGCTCTTATTTTGAACAGTCCCTCAGCCCTAGGATATCCCTCTAATCATGTACGAAAAGCCTTCGGGCACCACAGGCCACATGCCGTCGGAGCTCCACGTATTCCAGGAGTGGCAAGCGGGATATCGCGTGAGGGGGCGCTAAGTTCTCGCGTTCTTCAACCACCAAGTTTCCTAGAATGGGAGGGTTGACGTATGCCTCAAGCTGCCGAGCTCTGGGCAGAGAGTCCTCTGCATCTCACACTGGCTGGATGAGCCACACGTGGGACCCCTGCGGAGAACTTGCTGTCAGAAGGGAAGCCGTAAGTGTCAAAGGCTTCCACAGAGCTCTGGTGATGCCCGTTCCATGGCTGACGCTAGTGTTTTGCTGTTGGCTTCATGACAGCCAAGCGACTGTGTCGCGGCAGCTCCCGAATGGCTAGAGCCATTAAACGGCCCCTTCTTCACAAAAGAAGAACAACTCATGGCGGAGATGTTCATTTCGAGCCTCAGGCTGGCACCATGGTAGGCTGGGATCGGTAGCTGAATCCGGGGCATTCTGAAACAGGAGTATGCCAAGCTGTTCCCTCAGGTCTCTGCCAAGTGGTCAAGAGCATCAGATATGTCAGATATCCGCCACCGACGGTACTCCTTCATCTTTCTTCTATCGAAAATGGCATTTGTTTTGCAAAGTGCAGCCATACAGTGGTCATTCCGGCGATGGCGTGCAAGAAGGCTCTGGGGATGGGACGTCGTGAACATTGGCATTACGAGAAGCGACGACTCAGTCGCGCTGAAGACGCGCGTCAATGGAGATGACGGATATGCAAAGTTGCACAGTGGGAGGGAAAGGTGAATACACGATGAAGGATGGAGAGATAGCACAGGCGCTGTACGAAGGTTAACAGTAACGAGCGGACACTAGTCTTCAATTGTTCTAGCCTGAAATGGGATAAGACTTCCACACGCGTCAACCCTACAACATGTGATGTATCAGTGTCGTATTGTCGCTATTCAATATTACTTTTACTATATCTATCGTTGTAGGCCTTCTATCTGCGATGTGAATTCTTGTATCGCATAACGTAGAACATGATCGGAGCAGCTTTTGTCCATTAAAGCCCTGGCTAGAATAAGGGAGAGCGTCAACAGGATGCCACTTTCGAGCTTAAAAACTCTCTGCCATGTTCCACGTTGTTTCCGTGAGAGGGTTGGACATATTGATTGGCATGATGGCCCATTATCTAGGGATGGGGGATCCAGAGTGAGAGCCTCGGCACGACGAAACTTCCTGCACGCATGGAGCGTCTTGTCAATATCGGCATAGCCCTCGCCACCTTTTTCCTCCACATATCTTTCATTCTATGATCTTTCATGCACACGAAGCCTTTTGTCGATATTACTTCCATTATCCCCCTTGCGGGAATTGCTCTCCCTCTTAGGCCGTCTCATAGCCATCAAAATTATCGCATTCAGAGTGCTGACCTCCCTGTACCTTCCCGAGTGCCTTTGAGCTATCTGTCAGTTCAAAGGATTCTTACCTAGCACGATGCTGCCCCACAGCAGAGACTCTTCTCGAGAAGCCATGCAATTCGCCTTTCGCCATGGCAAAACTCTATAATAGCCAGGAGTTAGCAAAACGCCAGACCCCAGCTTGTCATGTACATTGCATGAGCATTCCAATAGTCCGGCTCTCAGAAACCTCGACCTAACCTACAACCTCACCCTAACCTTGGCCTCTATGTCGCAGATATCGCCCCTCTAAATTAGTCCACTCTTTCGGGTTGCGTTCCAACCCATCGTTTCTCAGATGTGGGAGAATGAGCCTGACAGGAACCGCTGTCGTGGGGGGATTTAAACGGAGAGACGCCAACGGGCAAATTTGGAATGTTCGAAAAGCTTGCTGATTAATAGATTAGCTATGTCGCTGGCAATCGGCGCATTGAGACATGGGGCACCGGTAGATCCAGTGAGGTTAACTCTTACAACGGTGTGTCAAGAAGCAGTGTGTCCAATGCAGCGCTGCCAACGATCCGTAGTACTATATGATTGGGTAATTTTGATGCCTGTACGATTGAGATTTTGTGTACGTTCGTACGGCAGGAAGGATAAAAGGTAGGTGTACGTATCGTAGCGGTTACGGCTCACGTGATCTGTACGAGTATGATTTGATTGAAGTACGCCGCACTCAGGTTGAAACAGCTTTGATACTTACAGGCCTTATCTCATTGGTCAGATACCTCTGTTTTCTGTTTTTCCGCAGTCTCTTACCTAGGCTGCAGAAGTTAAGAGCCCTCTAGACTGCGTCTCTTGCCTCATCCTTCGGTAGTACGTTGTCTATAGATGAAGACTAATCGCAGCAGGGAAAGGTAATCCACCTCTAGCTCTACTCTCCGGAGCCCTCCTAATCCTCTAGAATCGCTATGCAAAGACCCTAAAAAGGTAATATGATCCATACTACGTACCGTACCTAGGACATGATAAAACGTACGGTGTGGCTCACAAACTAGGTACGTTCATACCGAACATGTGACTGGTACAGCTCACTTTGTACAGACAGTAATATGCCCCGTTGGAAGCCCTGATCCGATGTTGGATCCGATTGGTGTGGTTGAAACAGAAGGATTGGTTCTGCTTACTAAGGTTAATATTTTAGAGAACTTACTGAGCGACGGGACTACGGTGGAGCCGCCCATTAAGGAGTATGCTACTTACTAAGAGTCTGAATGCGGAAATAGCATTCATTTTACCCTTGGTTGTATATTTCTAGTATCATTTCTATTCATACTGTACAGTACCATAGAAATTCCAGGAAGTGTGCATATTACGTGGAACGTCTATCTAACATGTTGCTTCTAGTCGTTCGTTGCCTAGCCGTTGCATTTAATACTAGTCTGCCTGAAACGCCGAATTCATCCGGCCCCTTTTAGGTCTAAACCGACAGTTTCTGTGGGCAGAATTCGCAATCTGGATCAAGGTCCTCTTCGCAAAAACCGCCAAGAATCTCTCTCTACTTAGCAACCTCTATATTTAATGCGCTAACCGGCCTTCTTTCATTGTACTACAATTGGCCATCAGGCGTTTTTTGAGCGCTGTAAAGTCGTGTCCATAGACAGATAGAATGTAAAGCTATTGGGAGCACCAGAGCCACGAGGAACTTATTTGATTGCTCAAAGAGTGTACCTAGGGGTATGGATATAAAGAGAAGAGGTTAGACTTAGCAACATGTGACTATCGTATGAGTCGTGCGTGAATGCTGCAAACATAGAAGGTATAAAGTTCGCAATTGTAGTAGTAATAAGACAACTAGGCGAGATAAACATCTACTGTCCTACCCAAACGCCTCCGAATGCAAAGCAATATCCTTGCACTTCCCACTCCTAACCCGCCTCTGAGCCCGCGCCACCGCATCCACTAATTCGGTCCTAAAGCCCTCAGGCCCGCTTCTAACAGTCGCAGTCTTCTTGCCGCCATTGACGAAATCCCCAATAAGTGTAGAATGGAGAGATGGCAATAGAAGATGCATCGCCCAGCGGCTTGGGCTCTGCGTAGAAAGGCCAGAGTTCGGCCTGTGGATCTTGGCAATGTTGTGAGGTTTCGATCCTGGATCGTTTTATACGTGATCCAGAAATATGAGGCCGAGGACGATTAAGAAATGTTAGGTAACACATTGCCCGCAGTCTAGTTGGCCGTCCCAGGAATGGAAGCATGTGGCGCGTCTTTTTAGCGCATCAAAGGTGGCACACATTTGTGCAGCTCGGATGCAAAGTGGATCAGAAAGAGGTAGATTTTCTACTGATGTGTCCATCTCTATATGCCCCATATGCCCCATATCTATAGTGGCGTATATTCTTCTCTATCAGTCCTTAGGTGGAGAGCAAAGAACGGTGCAGAATTATTCTTTGAGATCGAATTAGAGGGAGTCGCTTTTCGTCAATCTGACGAGAAGTTCGGCTTTCATCCTTTGCTAACTACGTCGTCCAGCATATGAAGAGAATTCTGAAAACCTGCAAAATAATCTGGTCCACATGGAAGGTACCTTGACCTAATATAAGCAAAGTTTCATCCCATGCAGAGTTTAAGTCAATCACAATTCGCACACAGCTATTAAGTTCTTATTTCCGCATAATCGATCTGACTAGTTTAGATATCGACCATATGGAAGTCTTTTGGAGCTTGTCTTCTGCTCTGACTTCCATCGTTCGAGGCCGGGAAAGTCAACAGCTACTCATCACGTGGATAACTGATATATGAGAACCTTATATCGAAAGCGAGCAGTTTGACTTTGATGGGTCCAGTGAAATCCGAATTCAGTCCTTTGGGATAGGGATTTAGATAATGTTTTGTGCTTTAAAGTGTTAAAGAATAAGTCCGGCAAGTTGATTGATCATATAAATGATGGCGCTAGCATTTCTTGGGAACTCCGACTTGTCCACAGACATCATTAGCCAAGGGCGGTGAGTGAAATAAATAAGGGTATCTTGCAAGTTTAAACTTTCAGCAGGCACTATAGGGCCTCACACAATGCTCATCTTTCTCTTAATCCACGGGGCAGTCTTCCATTCAGTCCCACGCTTTTCTTCGATCTTCAATCCCTCTTGTTCATAATCTGCCAAGGGGGAAACATAGATCCGAATACTCATGTACCCAACTCTTCTCCATTTACCATCAGCAGTGGATTCAAGCAGTAGGACGATCGCAGTAAATTGCTCTTTCCACACATAGTTCTTGTGAGTTGAAAGCTGCACCAAGCAGAAGCGCTGGCCTTGGTGAGAGATGTGCTTTCGTCGAAACTCCGAGCCTTTCGCGATGTACTGGGCTCGTTCGAATAGATGTGGGTGCTTGCTGGTGGGCAAGGCTGGTTGCTGTGGGTCCTCAATTGGGAGAAAGGGTGCGGTGAGGACAAGAAGACCGTCTGTGACTTTCCCGAATGGATCTTGCCCCGCTGTTTTGACTTTGATCGTGTGGACTTTTGCTTGGTGTTTAAATTCAGTAGTCTCTGTCATTTGTCCGTAGAACAGAATCGGATGTCCAAACAGGGATGCCCACGTCCAAGAAGGCGCTAAATATTCGATTTCTGCTATATTAGTCATACGGTTGTTGGATTCTCTTGACGTCCAGCATAAACTCCTCATTAGGTCTCCTTTCCACATTCCAGCTAGATAAGTGTCCCCTGTCACATGGTAGAAATCGTTCGCTATGCCAGCGAGTGCCGGGAGTGTATCACTCAATTGCGTCAGGTCCCTCGTGGAGTATTGCGTGACAATCTCACACCACAGATCGTAGTACGAAAACAGGCTTCCCCCAGGAGTCTTCAAGAGACCTTGGCTGAAGAAACGACGAGCTGTCAAGATTTGCTGGAAGCTTTGCAATCCGAAGCGTGGAAACTCTCGGAGACTTTGCAATCCATTATCTTTCATCCTTTCAAGTGATGGATAATAAAGAGAGAAGATATGTGGGATATTGAGCATCCGGTTCACTTTGTAAATCAGCCTTAAAGCCATTGTCGCGCGCATGGCTTGGATATGGGCCTTGCTTCGGTAGTTCTGGGTGGACATTGTCGATCGGCCGGCTTCATCTACTTGGCCGTTGGCACACTCGAAGGAGATCAAATGCGCTCCGAGCCAGATAGTACGTGGTGCCAATAGGCTCTCTTGTAGAGTCCAACCCCGAGTATGCATCAAACTAGTGCGTGCGGGGTCACTGTAAATCTCCTGTGCAGGGCGCAGGATGACGGTTTGGGGAGGTGTCTGCCCATTTACCCAAGGAACGGTGCAAGCCCATGAATCGAGAGCGCGATCCCTAAAGATCCCGTCACTAGATCTCGAAGATGCAGCAGCAGCGATAGTGACGACGGCTCCTTTATAGACGTCTCTCATCTTAGCTGCTTCCCGCGTCCAGTCTTCAGTGGAGTCTTGCTGAATACACAAAGCATCAATCCAGAGATATCGGATACGAAGATTCTGGGTGACAATAATGGCGTCTCGTAAAGTTGCCGGAAACCGTTCCAGTGGTAAGCCGGCACGAAGGATTTCTTCCGTTTCGGTAGTCAAAGTCAATATCCTCTCTCCGCCCCAGCAATAAGATAGCGCAGCGAAGGCTTCATGGCGCTGCTCGCCATCAACAAGACGTGGCTGTGGCGTTCCATTTATATCTGATGACTCCACATCGATGATTCTCGTGGGGAGTTGTATACTCCCGGGGGAGGATTTCTTGCAGGCTTTGTGGTTATCGCAACACCCTCGAAGCCATTTTCGACACATGGTAAGACATTCTGAGGATCCTGAATACGGAAAAATTGAAGCTGCCAGTAAATGTCGGTTGTCCTCTGGCTCGGCCCCCCGGTGAGCACAAACTTCGAAGTGAGCGAGCGTTCTCTGCTGTCCACCGTTGGTGTACTGAAAGGCTGCAACGAAGGGAAGAGAGTGAAGAGCAGGATGATAAGGAGTAGTTCCAATCCATATCTGTTCCATCCCAGGGCCGGCTTTCAGGCCGTCTGTGGTAAGATGCCTTGGGTCAGCATTGTAGCAGTAGGAACGCCATATTGAATTACAAGGATCGCATCTCGATGCGGATGCTTTTAGAGAAGGTAGATCTGGCAGGTGTTGGAAAAACCGGGGAATTCCTTCGGTCTTAGCTTCAGCTGCGAGGAGCAGGGCTCTAACATCGATTCTGCTGCAAACTGAACAGAGTTTCATGCTCAGCTCAATATCGCAAACCAGACGCGAGATACTCTGCGCCGACGAAGGTATTTAACAAGGGTGGGTGGACAAGGACGACGAAGTTCCAAGGGCTAGGTATTGACCTCGTGGGGACCAGCCCTCCCCGCCGCCGGATGCTACTAGGATCCGAAAAATTGCCACCGTGCGTGAGAGTGAAATGAAATAATTATGATCAATTGTCAACGGTTGCAATTTCAGCCGAAATAGAGACGAGAGGACACAGAAGTGAGGTGCAGTTAGTAGCCAAGTTTGAGAAGAGACACAGCGATTAGTCAGCTAAGCTCAGACCTTCCCGCTTTTTTCCGCCTCAACTGGCCGTTGCTAAGCCTCACCGAGGGGACGCCATTCTTGCACTAATCCTTCTGCTTTCAAGGCGTTACCTTTCACCTCCTCTAGAAATCTAGAAACCTAGGGTTCAAAAGTCATTATAAATGCTTATAAGGCAAAGAGAGACCCTGATGACAACCACGCCGTGAACATCCCTGGACGCGAAACCCTAATATCTCATCTTAAGTTCTGTCTCCTCAGACGGCCAACCATTCTTTCGATTCACTCTGTATCGCCTCCCTGTCTTTAGCAACAGCTTTCACATTCCGATGTTCAAACCCCAATGAAAACAAAAGCGCCAAGCCCCCAGCAACAAGCGCAAAGATGAAGACATCCCGAATTGCATCTCGATAAGCTTCCCGCAGCAGAACTAGAGCTTCCGGTGTCTGTGCCAGAGCACGTAAATTGTATGCACCTGCTGCGATCACCAATTTCGGCGACATTTTCGGGAGCTTCTGCGTAACCTCTGCCGTTAAACGGTTGAGGAATATCGTTTGCGCGATACACAGGCTCAATGAACCACCTAATTGAAAGGTGAATTGAAGAATTGCTAGATCGATTTTAGCTTCTAGGAAGAGTTGGAAGGTAGAATCACGTACCATTACCAGTTGGAACTTCTGCCTCACTCAGCACGGCCTGGACAGCAGTATATGGGTGATTGATGGATATACCCGTGCCGATAGCGAACAGGATGAAATAACCAACCCAAGTTGCAAGATGTGTTTCCATATCCAGCATCGTTATGAGACCGGATCCGACCATACCAATAGCAGTTCCGAGGATCAAGTACGGCGTCTGAAACAGTTAAGGTACTGTCTATGAACTCGACATAGCAAACATACGTAATAGCCGAATCTCGAGGCCAGCCCTCCCGAAAGCACTGTGAATCCGATCTGTGGAAGTGCTAAAGAAAGAAATTCCACCCCGCTCTTCAAAGCACTGAAACCTTTGATGGATTGGAAGTAGATAGGGATGTAGTAACCGTACTATTCAACATTAGCTTCTCTCTTATCCTAGTCATTCCTTTATCCTCACCACATATGTAGGCATCGAAAAGAATAGCAGGTAGAAAGCCCCGGAAACAATTGACCTCTGCCTAAGAATCGAGAACGGCAGCGTAGCATCATCACCCATTCGCCATTGGACCAAGAGAAAAAGAACAAACATCAACCCAGAGCCGACAAAGAGACCAATGACTTCGGGCGACCTCCAAGGCAAAGTTTGGCCACCCCATTGCATGGCGAGCAGAAGGGAGCAGATGGAAGCGACGATCAAGATTGTTCCGGCTAGGTCGAGCTGCTTGATCTTTTGGCCCAAAGTTGTAGAGCTAAAATGGTCCTTTTCGTTGTTACTTTTCAGCCGAAGGAAAACGGTTATGAGTACCATGACCACAGCTCCAATTGGAACATTGCTAGTCAGTTTTAGCATCCTCACTCCAAGCGCGTTCTACCTGCCTACTCACATCCAGAAACACCACCGCCACGTCGCATGATCCGAAAATGTCCCTCCAAGTACAGGCCCAATTCCAACACATATACCGAAGACGCTAATTACCACCCCCAAGTAAAGAGGTCTCTTTTGTAGCGGTACTGTATTCGTAATAATGACCAAAGCGCCTTGGAGCAATCCGGCCGCTCCACAACCCGCGATCGCTCGTCCTGCGATGAACACCGGCGAGGATGGAGCTGCGGCGCACAATATCGAACCCACTGCCACTAATCAGAATGCAATCCCTAGAAAATCAAGGCATTCTCAACGTAGAAGCTCTTCGAACTTACCTTCAAAGACAGCAACACATGTCAAGTAAATCCCTTTAATACTCAACAGCTTATACAATTTTCCAAAACTAGGCTGCAGCGCAGTCAAAGTAAGCAAATAGCCACTCCCATACCATCCGATATCATCTAGTGTATGGAAAGTGCTCGTAATCGCCGGGATTGCTGTCCCGATGATTGTGGTATCCAGCGCGATTAAGAAGGTGCCAAAGAAGAGTGATCCTATTACGATGAAAAAACCCAAGGACGTGTATCCCTCCGGCGCCGGTCGTAGTTTTAACGAAGTGTCTGTGTCACCAGACGATGGTTGTAGGCTGCTATTTCCGTTGTAGGATGTGAAGGAAAACTCAAGATTTGGAGGTGGAGGATCAAGTGCAGAGGTTAGGAAAGAGTAAGGGTAGGATTCGTTTCTCGATAGCTCGATGCTGGATTTTTCGGAGTCCATGACTATTGCAGAGAGAAAGAGAGAGATAATGACTCCCTCCGTACCTGAAGCAATGGTCAAAGTATAGAGAGGAGTAAGAGTGCGAGTGTTTCACAACATCTGTCAAACAGCTTCCACAGGGAATCTATCCGTGGAGCCACCACTGACGTTGTATCTATTCTGCAAGCTTTCGAACTACCTTCATGCATCCTCCAACACACAAACCACTCCGTCCTCCCGCGGCCCCGACCGCCATCAATAACGCTCAGTCTGTAATATTACCCGACCCCTACGCCGCCTCCCCTCCATCAGCCCCCTTCACTATCGAACCTGGCCCCAAAATTTCCTTTCCGAAGTTTAACGATGACGCAGCACATCCCATCGTATCGATAGCGGGACCAAGGCACTCGCTTATTTGCGGGCAGTGCACAGACCAGGATGCATGTCAGATTCTTGACCCGGTGTGTGGCGAGCGGTGTTCATTTATTCCTACAGGGGTAAGTGAGTAGGCAGGAGGGCTGTGCTGAATTTTGCTGAATTCGCTTTAGGTTTAGGGGTTTAAGGAGTGTGTTGCTGATTTGCTACAAGGAGTTCGCGGCGTGCAGTATTTTCTCATGGGAAGTGAGGCGAAGTACAGAAACCAATACATATGTCTGCAAGCAACACAAACGCAATACCTGCGCCACTATCTCCAACAAATTTGGAAAACTGATCAAGATGGAACATCGTCATTGCCCATGAAATTCAGCCTTTCCTCCACGCAGAAGGTATTCCCCGAACATAGCTATATCCGTTCCATCATATCGTATTTTGAAACAATGGCGTATACCGCCACCAACAGTTTCATCGTCAATCTTATATCCGGGGATTTTTAGTTGCCGAGGAGTCTGTGCGGGAGTAACTGGTGATCGAGGCCCAAGGCACATTACAGTTTCTGGCTCCAGCTTCAGAGTCTAGCTTTTAAGGCCGAGGGGTTGGTTCGGGCCGAGTAAGAATACAGGGTGGAGCAAGTTTTGTGGGTGAATCTCTGCGAGCTCAGGAACGCCACGGTGATTTAGAGCCAGCGAATCCGGATCGGGATCGGAGGGGGAAGTCAGTAGTAGAGGCAAATTTAGAGGTTCGTAGCACATTTTGAAGATGAGAAGTAGAGGGCTTTAGTTTCAAGCCTTTGAGCAATGACATGAGATGTTGATGGGTTGTATTTCTGCCAGAAGATAGATTATGAAATGAACAAATCTCATGATTTACGCGTAACTTGGAATTTAGGTTTATAGTTTCCAACTTGTCTTCGATATTATAGATCCAAAGTACAAAGGAGAATTTCTAAATCGCGACAACAGAGTACCCGGAATTTCGTGAACCTTCCCTCTCCTATACGATTCCATCCATTACAAAAAAAACATCAGACTTACAGATTAATATTAAACAGCTCCCTTGCCCCTTCACAGCCCGCCTATCCGCCTCCTCCTCACCCTCACCGGAATCTTCCCCTTTGGACTCAGCGTCCCAAACCCAAAATTCCTCGTACTCATCTCCATATCCGCCTCACTTGCCAGAATCTCAACATCATACAGCGTGACCATAAGAGCCATGCTGAGAAGGATTTCCAGCTTAGCGAAGTTCTTGCCAGGACAGGTATGAGTGCCCCCACCGTAAGGCATCCAGGAGCCTTCGGTTCCGTAGAGAGAGAATTGTGTGATGGAATGAGTGGCAGTGGAGCAGGGGTTGGGACTCTGCTTCAAGAATCGCCCGGGCCAGAATTTCTCTGGTGGATGAGCGGCGTTTGTGCCAGTGGACCAGATTTCTGGGTCCATGTGGCCAGGAGTTGAACTTGTAAGGACGAAGTGGTTCTTTGGGATTGTGTAATCGTGGATTTTCAGGTCGCTTTTGAGTGGACAACGAACTAAAAACCCGTTTACCCGGAGGCGTAATGTTTCGGCATATATAGCCTGGAGAATGGGTTGCCGGAGAAGACAGTCTATGTCGAAAGTCAAGTCGTCGGTGGTGTGGGATTTGATGCATGAATTGACCTCCACACGGACGTCACGGAGGAGGTCTGGGTCGCGGAAGGCTTCGAGCGTGCACCAGAATGCTGATATGATGGCGTTTGTGTTGCCGCTGAGAATGCCGGCATTAGCATGGTTCGGCAATGATACGAAAATGTACTCACCCCCAAATGAAAGCAAGTTCTTGAGATGCTACTGCGTCGGCATTAAATCCGTCCATGCTATAAAACATATCTTGTCTCTCTCGGAAAAACTTTGTTCCCCAGAACGGATCGTCACCGTCGGAACCAATGGATGCAGGGTCGAAGTTCTCTCGTGCCCAACAGTGCCAGTCTTTCACTGCTGCCAGGCAGCGATCACGAGCGCGGTAGGCGCTCGGGACTAGAAATCTTGCAGTGCAGGTAAATAGAGCCATAACATTATGATCCATGACCCAGAAGTCCTTAGTGAAGTTGGGGTGGCGTTCTAGAAGTTTGGGCCCGCACATGGCATCGATTGCGCAGCTCGTCAGATCGTGGTGGAAGAGATCGGCAAGGTTGTTCCATTGCGTCCAGTCATTTCCGACATCAAGGGACTGGAAGCGGTGGGTGACACTGCGCACGAAACGTTTGGAAAACGGAGCGAAACCCGGACCAGTAAGGAAACGTTGGAAGGATGAGCGCGTAAGAAAGTCCACGCGGTTGCGAGGTTCGACTTTGCTATCCGCATGTGGCTTTGGGTGCTCTCCCGAGTCGTCTTTGGAGTAAACACCGGCTGCAGCTTCTGGGAGTCTAAAGACGTAACGGAGTAGAGATCCGTGTAGAACGAATGCAGAGAGGGCGTGTTGCTTGAAGAGTGCAAGGATATTTTTTGCACCTTGGAGAATGTAGAAGTCCCCAAATGCAAGACGTACTTTAATTGGATGCGGACTCCAGAATACATATCTAGATCTCAGGTTAGTGCCCTGAGCGAGTCTAATTTGCGGACGTACTTACCTCGACGACAAAACGAATTTTCGTGGGTTCCACCAGAAGTCAAGAGGTATGCTTCCTAGAAAAGGTATCCAGTGTGGTACCAGCGGAGGACGCTTGCCCGTCGTTTGGGAATTTCCCGAAGCAGAGAAAGAAAGAACGGTCAATCCATAATGAATTAAGGAAGTGACTAGTGTCGCAGCTGCGACGTACAATGGGAAGTATTCATTGTGTGGTACATCACACGCTTCAAGCGGAAGTACAGTATGAACCAGGTGATCTTTGAATAGTGAAACGTTCTCAGTGAGCGACGAAAAGTTCTGGCTGAAACTATAGGACATGCTGGAATACAACATGATGTTGGTCTCCGGAAGAAGTGGAGTGCTCGTGGTTCAAGAATTTTATGGAAAATACTACCCGCAGACATTATATTTAAATGTTATATTGTAGTTTATGGGAGTTTTTGAGGAAGCTTCGGCCCCTGGAAGGCAGCCCCTTCGATGTTCCACATGCAACTGGTGTCCATATCATCGTTCGACCATCTAAGTCTGACACTCGGAATATCGAATCGGAAACATGGACCGGGTTGAGACAGTTCGCCACTCATTCCTCCAGTTACATCCAAGAACGTCCACATTCCGAGGATGCCGCCCTCGAAAGATGATGCTGTAGTGAGATGTCGAGCTAAGAAAAGTGAGCCCCAAGGTTCGAACCCCCATCTCTACGAGAGAAGCAAGGTATCAAAGCCGCAACCGTGCCCCTAGTTAGCAGTGCTTGATGCATGAACGGGAAGTGGAAGGGGCGCAAGCCCCAACGTCGCCGAAGCTTCAGGCAACTAGATTCGAGAGGCAAGGTGAGGCATTGGCGCTTCTGCATTCACTCCGCCGCACCCGTTATGATCTGAGAAGAGGCGATGTCGGACTCCGACAATTATCTAATTCATTCTGAAGCTAGCTCGCTAAGTGACTCAGCAGCCACATGCAGCCACAGTCGCCAATCGTAATGCTATTCATCCTCCCGCTGGAGGTCCCAGTTTTCTTGACGAAGTTGTGGCGGCTTAGAACAACGCTCAGGAAGAACGGAAATCAACCAAATCAGCCAATGTATTGCGGGTAACTCCGGCTATAGGCTCGTATAGAAGCAAGATTCATGAATAGAAACGGGAGGGAATCCTTCATGGGTGCCTGTCATGGGTGCCTGCTTCATCCGTCAGTTTATGCCCTGCGATCTCTGTTTCAGTAGACATTATCGTTGTTTTAGACTTCAGCGAGGCGGTGACGGTGGAAATACTGTTCACGATGTATGTTGCGCTTATTCTTAGATAGGCATTTAGGCAACTTGGTTAGCCGTTTCCGGACACCAGGTCTTACCCCGCGAAACACGTGCGCTTGACACACATGTCAGATCACTAAGTTCAATCATCATCAAATATTACACTATCTCTACCGCCAAGCCCTCTCTCCTATTGGTCCGGATATAAGCCAGCTATTAATTTAATTAGTAGAAAATTAGTAACTAAAAAGCTGCGTTACTGTTTATTTTTAAGCTTTAAGTAATTATTCTGCTATGCTATATGCTTAATCTAGTCTTCTTTTTTTCCTATTATAATTAACTACTGCATAGTTAGGAGTATAAAAATTACTTCTACAGTGTAATTTTTCCTGCTAAATGTAATTAGCTCTGCTAAGACCTTCTAAGTAAAGCCTACTGTAGGTAAAAAGGGGGTTCTAAAGGATCTCCCCCTAGTTAAGCAAAATAGTAGTGCAACTTTAGGCTTTAGCTTTATATCTGCTCTAACCTGTTCTAATCTTTTCTAACTAGACATTATCTGCTTTAATACCTTTATAGCCTTAGTTAACTTTACTTTATAATAATAATAAGTTATAGTAAGCTACTGTATTATAGCTATTTATAATATATATAAGTGTATTAGGTTATCTTATGTTATTTACTAACTTTTATAAAGAATTATAAAGGCCTTAAAATTACACTTAATATAATATTAGCCTAATATAAAACACTTTTAACTATTTTCTTTTTTCTTTAAGCTATAAAGCTATACTAATTATATTAAAATTAAAAGTATATTTACATACTATAAACTATTACATAGGGGGTAAGAGCTTAAAGGCGTTTTATTACTTAGAATAATAAGTTTAAATAGCTTAAATTTTTTTTTATATAAAATTTTTTTTTAAAAGTTTTTAGCTTAATTAAGTTTTTTTTTAAACTTAATAAGAATGCTGTTTTAAAAAGAGTTATACTTTTAAAAACTTTAAAAAAATAAATTTATTTAGTGTAGCATAGGCCTTACTACACTTTATTTTAATAAGTAGGATTTTAATTTACTTAAAGTTAATCTATCTTTAATCTACTTTAACTTTTTTTAATTAGTACTTTTTTTTTTTAACCTGTTCTCTCTTTTTTATTATATAGTGTTATCTTTTTATATTATTGCTATATAGACTTATTACCTACTTTCTGCCTAGTTTATAATAACTATAGACCTCTTTTTAACTTCTCTATTAATAAAGTTAGAGCTTCTTATTACTAGTGTAATAGATATAGCTGTGCAGTATATTACTTTATTATAATTATTATATTTTTTAGCACTTATATCTAGTTTTATCTAGGCGTGTTAGCTATTAGCTAATATTAACTCTAATATATAACTTTTAAAACATGTTTAAGCTTGCACTACTACAGTCTAATTAGGTCTATGCTAGGGCTAACCTGCACATGCTAGGTGTGACACTGCATTAAGTAAAACACTAGTGCTTAATTAATTATTTTATATATATTAAAACCTTTTTAAGACTTTTACACCTTTTTTTACTTTTTTTATGCTATCTATCTAGATCTATTATAATATATAATTAACTTTTTCTAAGTTTTTTACACTAACTTTTACTTCTTTTACACTGTTTATATGTATATATTATTATAATATACAGCTAACTTTATAAAAACCTGTCTAATTTTTACCCTCTTAATACACTTTAGATTAGCCTACTTTATTCTTATTTATGCGTAGAGATTAAGAGTAACTAAAAGCTAGTTTTTTATAAAATAATTTACTAAAGGTATATATTATTACTACTATAGACTATATTACTCTTATTAACTTTAGTTTAATGTAGAATTTTATAAGTAGCTATCTTAACTACAGTGCTTTTTACTAGCCTAAGAAGTAAGTTAATAAGAGTTAGGCAGATTCTTCTTAGTACTCTATATATTGCCTAATAAGTAATATTAACCTTCTAACTTTTCTAGATCTACCTTTATTTCTGTGTTATTTTTTATAAGGTAGGCACTTACTTAGTAGATCTTTTTAAAAGCATTTTTAATTATATAATATAGCCTTAGCTTTTACATTAGCTAACTATAAATAAATAAATTAAAGTGTGTGTAGTATAAGCATAAAAGTTTTTTAAATTATAAGAAAGATGTACTATATACACAGCTTATTAAAGCCTACTAAAAGGGACGTTTTTTTCTACACATAGCTGTACTTTTATAATCCTGCCTAGGCTAACAGTGCGCGTATAGGGCATTAGGCTAATAGTAGTTTTAATCTAACTATACTTACACAGCTGCTATAAATAGTTAAGATAAATTATAATAATCTTTAAATTAAAATATATAAAACTGTATATAAGCAGTTACAGTAAGCTTATAAGTAAAATAAAAAATTATAAATTACTTTTAATCTATAACTATAGTTAATTATATAGGCTAGGGCTAATTAATGTTAAAAAAACCTGCTTATTACTAAGAAAATTACTACTTTAGTTTATAATAAGCTAGTTAAAGATTATAACTAAGATTTTATTTTTTACTACTAACTTAGCTTTAATCTAAGACACTATTAGTTTTTATACTAAAGAATTAAACATACACATGCAGCATATTAGCCTTTCTACTATGTTTTAATGTTTTTATAGAGTACCCTTAGGTTTTACTATAGTTTATAGCTATGTACTTTATACATGTCTTACACCTAGAATACTCTAACTAATTCTAAGTATTACTAATTCTACTTATTTCTCTAGCGTAGTAGTCTTATTATGCCTTTTAATTATAGTCTATTATTTTAGTAATTTATTGTTAACTACTAAGCTTAGTGTAAATAAAAGAAGTTATAGTAAATTATAGTAAATTAAGGATAGTTATATGCTAATTTATATTAAAAAGTGTGTAATGCATTAGATTAGGATAACTTTTAGGCTAATTTAGTTAAAATTTAGACTATTTTTTTTTTAAGTTATATTAGTAGTAGTTGCTTTATTACATAGTGTTATTAAAACTTTATAGCTATTATTTAAAAGCTTAGTTAACCTACTTTATTTATTACTTTTACTGCTAATTCTAAATAGCTAGAGTTAAAGCAGGAGATTAGTACGTCCTTTTAGCTATTAGATTAGCTAGATCTAGTTGCGCGCGTTTTTAAGCTGTGTCTTAACTCCCTTTTTATAGACCTTTAGACTAACTATGTATTTAGCTAGTATACTAGTATTATGTATACTATTAAGTACTAAAAGTAGAGTTTACTTTATGCTTATATTTTACTTTTTTTATATTATAATTACTATAATTAGTTTTTTAATCTAAACTTTATTAATTAGGTTATATAAGCTAAGCTTTTTATAAAGGCTTAAAATCTAAATAAAGTTTTAAGTAACATTATTAAAACTACTATAGTTTATAAGCTATGTAGAACCTTAAATCCTAGCATGCCCTGTATGTAGACTACAGAGCGTTCTCTCTAAGCAACCTGTTAGAAGCAATTCCTAAAAAAATACACTAATAAAACTCTAGTTAGTAAAAACAGTTATTCTATATATTAGTGTTAACCTAGTTTAACTTAGGTTATAAAGTGTTATAGTTAAAACATTATAGTTAATAATTACTAAGTAGTGCCTTATAGTTTATACTTTTTATGTAAGTATAACGCACATGTTAATGTAAAAGTCTATGCCTTTATAAAGTTAGTTAAATATATACATAAGTATATTTATAAGGGCACTAATTAGGTTGTTATCTATATCTAGTAAAAAGACAAAGTTGCCTAGTATCTAAACATGTGCTATATTAGACTAACTAAGGCTATTTAGTAATTAATAGAGTTTAAAGTTTATAAAGAAAAGCTTTTTATTATTTAATTAGTAGTGCATTTACTAAAACAGCATATAGTTACCTTTTATAATAAAAATAGTGCTAAATAGGTAGAGATTATAGTTAAATAGAAAAAATTATTATTAATAAAATAGTTAAAGTATAATGCTTTTTATGTAAATAAGTGTAATCTTTTTTACTAAAACTTTTTAACCTAGTATTATTAAAATCTAGAGAAAGATAGTAGTAAATAGACTTAGTTCTAACATAATTAGTACTTTATTAGTTATGTCTACTTTTGTAGTTTTTTCTTTAAAAAGTGTTTTTATTTTAAG